AACTCCTAAGCTAGCTAATGTTAATTAAAAAAGGCAGTAATTCTAATGCAAAATTGTGGGGCAGTATTCTTAACCCGTTAAGCCCGATTGCCCCCGGTACCACAGCGTCCCAGGGCTTGTTAAAATGTAACAACCTATTAACGTTGCATACCCACTTACCAGGAAGAAACTAAGCTAACAGATGATAATAACCATTTTTACCTAAACGAAACATAATTCCAACACCAAGCGTCTAAATCAGCACTCACAACGCCACATTAGCACATGACTGGCGATTTTTCTACTTCATGCTATCTGCACAAATGACATATCATATGAAAGCTGAGATTCATCAGATTCCATTGGTATAAGTCTCATCACTGTACGACAAAACTCACTGAACTAGCAGCCAGGAAAGAGGGTTTCCATCATTATGTTTTTTTTAGGCGGGGGGTTTAACCTGAGCTTACTCTGACACAGCAATATCTATATTGATTCTGACACTTCTACAGCCAACTCACAGGTGTATCATTGCTTTGATAACAAATATTATTCATATATATATATTAGGGGTGTAACGGTTCACAAACATTTCGGTTCGGTACGTACCTCGGTTTTTTGGTCACGGTTCGGTTCGGTACGTTTTCGGTACAGCAGAATTTTTTTTCACAAAACAAAACATATATATATATTTTTTTATTATTATTATTAAACTGTGAATAATGTATTCACTCAAATAAATACAAAATATAATAAAATAAACATTAAGGTGCAGCATTTCGATGAACTGAAATAATCTGTATTTGAACTTTACTGTACTAGTACTCACAAAACATAAACTATTAGTTTGGGGTTTTTAATTATTATTAAACTGTAAATATTCACTCAAATAAATACAAAATATAATAAAATGAACATTAAGGTGCAGCATTTCGATGAACTGAAATAATCTGTATTTGAACTGTACTGTACTAGCACCTAAGCAGCCAGTTTGACATTAGGACTTGCTTGTCATTGTATTTTCATGTTTTTTTAAAGAAAAATGAACTTGTCCACATTGCTTGCCGAAAGGGCAGATCTGCTGGCACTAACAATGTCTCCTGCTGTGGAGAACACCCTCTCGCTAGGGACAGAGGTAGCAGATACAGCCAGGTAGCGCTTTGCTAACATTGCAACATAAGGATAGTTGGCGTTTGTAATAGCTTTGGCTCGGTCTGAAGAAGTGGAGGCTTAAATGCTAGCTGGAGTTGGGTTTGCACTTCAGTCTTTTTTCTTTTGGTACCGGTGATATTCACGTTCGGGTGATGCCTTTTCAAAAGAGTGTGCAAGTTTGATGTATTGCCAGCCGCGTAACCAATTTTAGTTGAACAATGCCGACAAACAGCTTTGGTTCGGTCCACCTGTCTTTGTCCGTCATCCTTGTACGTAACTGCAAAACCAAAATGTTCCCAAACCGGAGACTTCAATGATGCTGGAGGATTTTCGAGCTCAACTTTATCTGCGTTCGCCATACATTTTTGACAGTTCCTCAAATTACTGACTACATTTGAACGCATCCCTCTGACCAGCTCTCATAGTATGCCTCTCATCCAATTAAATGACTTGCTCGCTCTATGACGCGTTGAACCCAATGTGAGAAAATTACTCTGAATGCTGCGACGCAGCACCTGAGATTACTTCCAAAAAGTTATTCACGTTCTCAATTTTTTACGTTTAACGTTATATTCGTTCGGTACACTTCGGTACACACCTGTACCGAACCGAAGGGCCCGTACCGAATAATTTCGGTACGGGTACGTGTACCGTTACACCCCTAATATATATATATATATTCATAAAGTACTTGGTGTGAAAGCGCCTTTTAACTTGAATGGTGATTTCTATTTCATTTATCTGACAGTGACATAGTAAGCCAGCATGCCCAAAAGAAAACAAAGTGTAGATCGTCCAGCCCACAAATGCTCGCCAAGTGTCTGCATCCTTCATGTGCCATCCATGTCTGATCATGGTCCGTTTACACCCCTCACTAAAATTAAAGGAACAGCTATAGAAAAACTACAACAGCTGCATGAGATCCGGGACCAACGTCTCCATCAACCACATAAATCCCAATATTGTATGCAATCAGTGTGTGACCAGATCCCTACAACTCTCCCTGATGACCTGGAAAGTGTTGGGTATCACCGCAACTGTTATCAGCACTTTACTTGCAACCTTCAACTTCTGGAAGATAATCTAGAACCATCAACCTCACAGTGGAATCACTCCCCACGTAAATTGTCCTATGGGGGTTCTGCGGGACCCATCTTCCCACCAGAATGCATTTTTTGCGACAAAGTTGAGATCAAAGATGGTCATCGTAAAACTGAGAGACCTGAATACTTCCCATCTTATAAGAACAAAGAAAATGCATGGAAGCAAATAGAATCACGGGCTGAGAAAATGGGTCTAGTTCGACTTCAAAGACAAGTGAAGGGCAAAGACCTCTTTGCTTGTGAGGCTAAACACCATCAGTCGTGCTTTAAATCTTTCCGCACAGCATTCGCCAACTACGAGCGCAGCAGTATTCTTAAAACAGGAGCTAAGGATACTAACCAAGCTTTCGTGTCAGCCTTGGTTAGTAACCCCACGAAAAGGCATTTGTTTCAGTACTGGAACACATTGGAACTCATGTAGTCCAGCAAAATGAGGTCCTACAGCTCTCTTCCTTGCGCTTGCTGTATGTGGAAGAGCTGAAATTGAATGGGTACGAGAACACAAATTATCGCTCAGAGAAACGGCTACAGAAAGATCCAATCAAGGAGCATATCCAGTTTACGAGAGTTGACCACGACAATGCCATTTCATTCTGGCTGGTGTACAGCTTGAAAATCACGGTATCGAATGCCGTTGCACGAGCTTACACTCTCGGAACCACAGACAAGTACAAAAACGTTGCTCTCCTACTTCGCCAGAATATTCTGCAGGCTTTCAGAGAGTCCAAAGACCTAAAGTGGTCGCCAACAGCTGACGACATGGAGCTCACTCCTGAAAATCTCCTACCCACAGACCTCGTCCGGTTTCTCAGCATGGTTATGGCTGACAAGGAAGACATGGAGACGAATGAAAAGATGAAGCGCCTGGTATTCTCCATTGGGCAAGACCTGTGCCGTGCAGTGTCAGAGGGAGAATGGAAGTTACCAAAACACATTCTACTCTGTGTGACTGTCAGGCACTTGTTCAGAATCAAGCAGCTCACCACAATATTACACAGGCTTGGCCACTCTGAGAGCTACGGATTTGGTTTAGAGTTGGAAACTGCCCTGGCAAAGGTCCTGGACAAAGTCTCATCCTATCGGACACCCGCAATTGTGATAGGAGAGGGAAACCTGGTATTCCACTGTGAGTGGGACAATTTGAATAAAACCACGACCAGTGTGCACGGCAGCAACATTGTCAACAGTGCTGGGGGAATCATGGTCCAGGAGGTCAAGCCTGGGATTGAGAGCAACAAGGTCCGAATGCTACCCGTCCTCGACAAGTCGCAACAGCGTAGCCTGAAAGTCAACACACCAGAAACACTCCCACCCTTGCACTTCACTCGCGCCGACCCAAAGTTTAATGATGGCTCATCATTCACACCGCCAGCAGAGAATGACACAGTCTATGCAACTGAGATGCAAGTGTACTACATCTGGCTCTTTATCAGGTACATCGGAAGCAATGGAAAGCAGCCTGTGCCTGGACTTGGGGGCTTCACCTCTGCAACTGGTACCCCTTGTCAGGGCTGAGTGAGGCAAGCAGGACCCAAATGCAGATGAACAGAAAAAATACCTTTATTTCAAGGCTACTGAAACAAACTTGGACAAAACAGTACTCTCACCCCGTGAACAACGTCCAAATACGACAAGGAACTCACAAAGACTAACAGAAAACACAGAACCTAAATACACACAGGACTAATCAAACAAACAAGAGACAGGTGAGGAGGGAGGAGAAAACACAGGGGCATCAGGTGAACACAATCTGGTAATCAGGGAGGGAAAACAGAGAGAAAGCAACAGGCAGGAACGGGGGGTGAACACTTTACAGAATAAAACAGGAAACCAAAGACAGAAAAAGACAAGACAAAACACAACACGGACAGATCGTGACACCCCTCCACTCAGAAAATCAACAGTGGACTACTTCACGCCCATCCATCAACCAATCACTGACAATGCAGTTGTTCGTGAGCTACTGAAGCGTTCTGAGCTAGCCACTGATGAGGTGGGTCAGAGGTGGGTCCTGAATACATTTGATCTTGGTGTCTGTATGAAAGCCCTACCCATCATCTGGCGTTGGCCAGATACATTTGTCCGTCATGTGGTTATGATTGGACCCTTTCACACATCCATGAACTATATTGGGATGCTCACACGCCACAAAATATGTGGTTCTGGATATGCAGAGATTCTGTTTGAGGCACAACTAGTGACAAGTGGATCCCTCAAAGGTGTTTTAAGTGGAAAGGCATACGCAAAGTCCCTCTTTTGCCTCAACACTGTGTGCGAGTCAATGGAGAGGCTGTTGATGGAGCGGTTAATTGAGGAGGAAAGCGTCCTTATCACTGACCCTGCTGCACTTCTCAACATGACCCATTCTTGCAATCGAGAGCATCTCGATGAAGCCCTCAAAGACCGCTCAACTCTAACCCTCATCGAGAAGTATCACGCCTATGAGGAGAAGGTGCTCAAGGGTCACCTGGGAAAGACAGCTGCCTTATGGATGTCATTTATTAACCACTGTCATCTTGTCTTCATGCTACTCCACTCCGTTAAGACCAACAACATCCAGTTGTTTCACAAATGCAATGGAGAGATGGCAAATATCTTCTTTGCATTTGATGGACACAACTACTCAAGGTTTGTGCTATTTACATGACAATTTACCAAATTGGCATTATGAGACAAGCTTTGAAAATAAATGTTTCTATGTGTAATCTGTGCATTTCCTTATCTGCGGATATCTGACTTGGCTGGAGGTCTATCTGACAAACCTGGAGAACACACACCCAGGGGCCAAAGACCTGCTTTCTAAGGGTGCAATTGCGGTGGCCCGCTCAATGATACCAGGGGCACTTAGTGCAGTCGACAAGACCATGGAGGAAACGTTCATGCACTTTGCCAAATCATCAGGTACATTTCGATTTTTACTCAGATATTGTGTATGTACATGAACAGATATACAGACATTGTATCAAGATTATTATATTATATAATACAATTGTATACTACTCTCACAAAACCACATTTTATTTGATGATTTCTGAATTAAAATGCATGTAGCTTATTGTGTGGGAGCAGTAGATCACATATTTGTTTCATACTTTTAAGGTGGCTTCACTGGACTATACAGCCAGTTTGGGGCATACCAGAGGTGGTGTCGAACAACCTCCACACGGGCAGTTTTATGAAAAGACCCTTGAGATGGTGGACCTCATCAAAGACCCTAGACTGCCAAAGGGCGGGGAAACATCGGGAGCTGGAGAAGGCAGAGGTCAAAAAGGGTGAGGAGGAGGCCATTCAGCGAACCATCGATACAATTAGGAACTTTACGAACCCCTTCACCATCTCAGACAAGGACAGGCTCTACTCCCTGGCTTATGGTGCTCCTGTCCTCATGGAGGTCGAGATGGACGTGCTACAAGCAGAAACTGTGGGCAAGGCTGCTAAAGCTGAGTTCATCAAACGGCTACAGAGCAGATAGCCAGGTAGCTTCTTTGACCCAATCAAAAAGAAGAAGCTCAAGATCATGGAAGCTTGTAACAAAAAGGTCACCCTCACATTAGTGTTAATTTCGTTGACTAAAACTATGACGAAATATGTTCGTCAACGACCTTTTTTTCCATGACTAAAACGAGACGATGACGAGACGGCACCGACGGCAGTAAACAATAACTGTAACGAAATCATCATGCAATATCGTTGACGAAAAGTGACGAGACGAAAATGTAGTTTACTAAATAAAAACTATGCCAAAATCTCTCTTTACTTTCGTTGACGAAAAATGAGGAGACGAAATATTATCAAAGATAACGTTACATCTCTCATAGTCAGTTTTTCTCCCAGCAGTTCCATTTCCGGCGCTGCAGCAGGGCAGCAGCTGTGTGTCTGTGCTGCGCGTGGCGGTACATTTGAATTACACCGGGCCAGCGGCACACTGTGAACTGTCAGGAAGACTCGGGTCTAACTCATGGTCTAACTAACCTTATTTAACAGAAAATAAAAAGGCAACAACAGGGCTTGGGAGCAGTGGTCGCACTCGCGTTAACCAAATACCCCCCCGTCAGCGCGAGTGAGGGATAAATTGTGCACTCGACGGGTAATAATGGATTATGACAGACATTTTACGATCCTGTCCGTCAAAATGACTGACAATGAAAAAGTCTAATGCCACCACTGCTTGGGAGAAAGAAACAATGTGATATTTGGGCCCATTTTCGCTACAATGAGGCTGAGAAAAAAAGCGAATGCATTGTTTCATCAGAAGGGAAGCAATGTGGCCAAAACACAGCTGGTAAAAACACCACAAACCTGAGCAGATAATCTCTGCAAAGCTTCTTAATCATTCAACCTGTGTTTTTCATCAAATAAGGACAAGATATAAACTTATTTATTTATATATGCTAAAATGACAAATTATTGGTTTTGGCTAGACTAGTTTGACTGAAATGTTCTATATAATCTGATGACTAAAAAAGACTCAACAGTTTTCATTGACAAAAAGTAGACTAAAATAATTAGTTTTCTTTCACTAAAATAAGACTAAAATGCTCAGACTTTTAGTCGACTAAAACTTGACTAAATAAAAACAGGATGAAGGTGACTAAATATGACTAAAACTAAAAAGGAAATTTAACACAGGACTAAGACTAAAACTAAATTAAAAAATAGCTGACAAAATTAACACTACCTCACATCCTCACAGGGAAAGGTAATGAGATGTTCCAATACCTGAGGTCTACTATATTATTGAAATTAAGTATTTGAATAACCTTTATTTTTGTATTGTTGTGACCCCATATTTTGTTAATGATACACTATCAATATCATTCCAGGTCATCCAGTATCAGGAGCAAAGCAATCTTGCTTTCCTGCTCCTTGTCAATTGTCAAGGAGCCACGTGCAGAGGAGCCATTGGACTTGGAGGAACTCATGAAATATCCCCTAATGCCTGTGCCCCCTAGCCTTGGGACACCAGATGGGTTTTTCTCCAAGACTAATAAAGCGGCTCTTCTGCACTACATTCTGGAGGACACCACCCCAAAGGATCTGCCATACCCTAAGGATGCCCTGTTCATCCAGGATGGCATGGCTCTGCTCCATGTCCTCACCAACCTTCCCTCAACCTGTGGGGAGATATGCCTACAAGTGCTTGATCAGATGGTGGCCAAAAAGCACTTTTTGTTCTCGACTGACAGTTACCATCCAGGATCTATCAAAGCACAGGAGAGGTTGAGACGTGGCAGTTCAGAGAAGATCATTTTGGCTGGACCAGCAACCAGGAAGCCATATGACTTTAAGATGTTTCTCACAAATGATGACAACAAAAGCAACTCTGCCAGCTACTGCTGCGAGTATGGAGTGATCAACAGGCAGCTTCAAGTCTGGAGAGAACAGAAATGGCAGTGCTGATTGTGGAAGGGAGAGCCCATCAACTTCTCTCCTCAAATGGCAAGGTAAATTGAAAGCCCATATTAAAAGTGATTGATGGTTAAATTATACTCAAAGTGATTATCTGTGATTTGTGTCTCTGTCATTGTTGATCAAAGTGCAATGTCCCATTGTGTATCAGGTTGAGGTACGTGAGCTCCCCACAATCTACAGCAACCAGGAAGAGACTGATACAAGGGTGGTACTCTACCTTCATCACGCTGCTGCCCTTGGGTACAAGAATGCTGTAGTCAGAACACCTGACACAGATATCTTTGTGATTCTTCTTTACCACGCTCATGCCATCGAGCTGACTATATACCTGGATACGGGGTCAGGGAAACATAGACAACTTCTCAACCCCTCTGAGCTCGCAGAATCCCTGGGAGAAGACTACTGTGCCACACTTCTTGGATTCCATGTGTTCAGCGGAGAAGACTGCACCAGTGCCTTCAAAGGGAAGGGGAAGGTGGGGCCCTTGAAAAAGCTGGAGAAGAACCCGAAGTTTCACAGGGCGTTCAGTCAACTCGGTGACAACTGGAATGTCAAACCTGAGGTACTGAAGCAGTTGGAGCAATTCACCTGTCTGATATATGGAGAGAGTCGTGAGTCTTCAGTGGACGTAGTCCGTGCCAAGTTGCTGCGCAAAATGGTGGGGCAGGACGATAAACTCACTGCCAAGTCTAAGGTTGACCTGGCTCGCCTTCCTCCATGCTATGATGCTCTGAAGCCGCACGTCCAACGTGTGAACCATCGCGTCGCCCTGTACAAGCGAGCTGATGAATCAATTTTAGAAAAACCAAACCCCTATGATGAGGAGCAGGGATGGATGAGGACTGATGGAGTGTTGAGACCGGTGTGGTCCTGTGGTCCTGTTCTGCCAACCTCCCTGGTTGATCTCCTGGACACGACAGAGCGTGAACAGGAAGACGAAGAGGAAGAGGAATTTGACTCTGATGATAGCATTGAAAACGATGATTGAGTATTAATCAGATAGTGGAGAGCCAAACCTTGACTGCTTATCTGGAATGGGAAAGAGTAGTCACATCAATACTTATATTATGATGTTTGACCCTTGCTGTAGGCTAGTACAAAACAAATACATATTGGTTAAATACACAACATCTGTCTAGACACCTTATTTGTTCACTTACTGTACTGCAATATTGGCGTCTCTTAATTTGCATAGCATGCCACAGATACATGTGATCACTTTGGGAATAGTTTTATTGTGATCTTTGACCATCAAAACATGGGTCTAGACACATTATTTGTTCATTTATCTGCAATATTGGCTGAGATAGAGTGAAAAGTGTGAACATTTCGTTTTTGGTAATGGGGACACTAATTTGCATAAAAAATACATGTGGGACATCCAGACAACATTTTAACATAGCTCATCATTTTCTACATACTTTTTCCACTTAGGAAACACTGATTATAAGTATATTTCTGTGTCGGTGCAAAATACACCCTTCTTGGTACAAGACTGAAATGCTATTTTCTTGTAATAGCGGCACTAATTAGCATAATAGCATGCCACAGACACATGTGATCACTTTAAGAATAGTTTTATTGTGTTCCTTGACCCTCAAAACATGGATCTGGATACCTTATTTGTTCAGTTATCTGCAATAATGGCTGAAATATAGTGAAAGGTGTAAAAAGAGTGAAACTCGATTTTTAGGGTAAATAAACACTAATTTGGGGAAAAAATATACGTGGGACAATTTGTCAACTTTTTAACATAGCTAATCGTTTTCTACACAATTGTTCCAATCTAGAAAAGCTGATTAGAAGTATATTTCAGGGGGGTGCATGATACCCCCTTCTACCCACTAGACTAAATGTGTTTCTCATATATTTAGGATTAAAGTTAATGCTTTTGCTCGTCCCAGTCCTGGTATTGATCATTCTTCTGTAGTCACACCAGCTCTTAATGGCCTCACAGCCATGAATATTAGATACACTTCCCTTCACCCCTCAGCGCAAATATGATGAGCCAGCCTGACGAGGCTTTGCGGAAACAAACACAGTGCTGTATGAGTATCACAAATAATGAAATTAGACTGTACTTTCAACATATTGCGTGAATGAATGCGCAAACAGGAAAAGCAGAATCAATCAAGGTCATAATATTGTTTGTCAGAAGTCATTGTTTTTGTCTGCTCTCTGTCGGCCTGGTTTTATGTATTAATGGAAGCTTTACAGTCATGCAGTGATAGCGGATATTCTCCTGAGTTAGATTAGCCCCAATAAGAGCATAGTAACAGAGATGTTGGGTTACAGCCCATTATGTCTGGGAGAGAGAGAGAGAGGTGAGGGAGGGAGAGGAGGGTGTGACAGAGACACAAGCAAAGATCATCTTCACACAATTTTAACTCCCGTTACTCTGCTCTCTCAGCGCAGCTCGTCACTGGACGGCCCTCATCTCTGTCTTGTTGCAGTTTGTTGGACACTTCTATATTTTCTGTATCTTTACTGGTCTATTGCAAGATGCTTTGACCAAAGCTTCCCAGATGTTCTTCTGAGAGATGTGTGAGCAGGTTGGAGTTTCCCTCCACATTGCTAATCGTACTTGAAGGAGCTGTGTCTCTGACACAAAGGAAGAGACATGGCAGGGGACCTCGTGGTGGGGATGCTCTACAACTTATTACTGCCACTGCTCCTTCTGGCTGGTGAGTCTGTTTTATTCACGTGCATGTAAACTGAAAAAAAGGCATTTCTTGTCTTCTAGTCCCTATTCAGATTTTAGCTAGGGGGAAATAGGTCATTTTAGGCTAAAGTCTACAAAATGGTAAGTCTGCTGCCATTTCTGGTCCTGAGATCCAGTTAGAGTTATCGTTAGGTTTCAAGGGATGAAATGCAAACTAAGCTGCTTTTTGTGGTGGATATTATTTCTTAATAGTATAAACATTATGTTAATGTTTATATACTGTTTAGAATGCATTACTTTAGTGGAAACGGGTTGTATTAAAGGCAGCATAGATGAGTACGAGTTATTGTAGTAAAGCAAGTAAATGTGTGCTTATTGTTGCAGATGGTTGACCTTTTGTTTGTCCAGTTCTAAGGGAAATGAAACAGGAAAAAAATGATTCAGTTTTAGGGATTACTGTTTTCCAGGCTCCATTTGTGGTAATCTATGAAATCAAGCATCAAATCAAATCAAGTTTTATTTATATAGCACATTTATAAACGATTTTTGATCGAGCCAAAGTGCTGTACATATAATAAAAATAGCCTACAGTAGAGACACTTTACAGCAAATACAACAGCACAGATTGTTCAGAATATCAGTATGAGAAAAAAGCATGCCGCTATGTGCAGCAAAGTTGATGCTTAACCTCACAAAATGTGTGATGAATTCACACATTTAAAATTTAAATTTGATCTGCTGATGGTCAAAATGTTTTTCAGCCGTCAGACAAGTTATATGCTACTGCCGTGAATGTCTTCTTTCATTAGTGAATAACAGGAAATATGTGATACAGAGCAAAATAAAACATAACTTAAATGGGTATCTTGCAAAGTGAAATTGCATAAAAAATAGGGATATAAGGCAATTTCACAAATTATTATTTCATATACACTTGTTTAACCCAGTGTCTTATTACCAGACAAAGAGTCACACAGAGACTGACAAAGCTTATTATTTCATAATGAGAACAATCTGAAAATCCAGAGGTGGAAAGCAACTATGTACATTTACTCTTGATTTATATACGTGGAGGCGTGTGGCGCAGTGGTGGAGTCTTGGTGGTGGGATCAGGGGGTCACAGGTTCAAACCCCACTGCAGTCAGCATGTCGTTGTGTCCCTGGGCAAGACACTTCACCCCAAATTGCTCCTGTGGGTATTGTCCACAGTATTGAGTATGTAGGTCGCTTTGGATAAAAGCGTCTGTACTGTAATGTACATTGACATACTTTTCACCACAGGCAGATATTCTACTTTTCATTTAAATTAAATGTATTTAATAACCTAAATTACAAGCTACTTAACAGATCCAGATTAATAATAAAACATGAAATATAAAAATAAATTAAGATGTGTAATTTTTGGTAATTGTTAAAAATCTCAATTGGCACTGGTTTCTGTATTCCATGTTTTTTTAGCAATTCATGGTTCAGATGAGCTGTGGCTATTTCATTTAAGAATACATTTGTATTGGTTCAAACATTACAAATTAGACATGAAGCAGGTTGCAATCACATTTGCCGCTTTGTTTTCTAGTTTTGATGGTTAATGTGACCTGTTTCGAAGAATATAAAAATTGAAGTACAGTAACTAAAACCAGTTCTATTAAACAGATGAAGTGTTTGTGCTCTTTCCTCTGCCCCTCAGCGTCTTCGTTCCGCTACAATGGTCTGTCGGTGGTGTATTTTCTGTTTCTCCTCACCTTGCCCCTGCTGCCGAACCCCAGCCTGGTTACTATGAAAGGTGAGAGCGGCTACAGAGACCAATACCATCACTATTATGGACATTTGGTGTGTAAGACGTGGAAAAGAAATGTGATGAAAATGCATTTAAATTCAAGTGATCTAAACTAATTATGTTCCATACGCATTATTAAAGTGATCTCACAGGTTTTTGCTCGGAATCACTAAGAAAGTCTTAATGCATACATCTAATTCAAATTAATTTACGGTCTCTTAAGGTTTTGGTCCCTTGTATCTGCAAGACGATCACATAAAAATTAGATCAATTCACCATGTTACAAATTATTGTTATGTTCCTTTGTCTACTAATAAGCCAGTTTTAAGTATTTAAAATGTCTAGTGATACACTTTAATAATTTCAAGGTTGTGTATATTTTCGTACCGCACTGTCTGTTCTGCATATACATGTTTTTGATGCCAGACAAGGACCTGAGTCTATAAAAAACAAACTCAACATGTTACTTCACAGTGTAGGTTATATATTGTTTTAGGTTTGTATATGTTTTTCTGTCATTTATTATGTAGTGATTATCTGGAATATAATAAAACATTTTGGTAATAAAAAAATGGATTTGGTAACTTCGCTGAACTGCTGAACTGTAAACTCTTAAATGATGAGTTAACTCGTAATTGTTCCGTCAAAGTTTGATGTAGAGAAAAACAAAGAGGCAGAGCGCAGATAAAGCACTAGTGATTATATTGAGTAAGAGTGTGTGTGTGTGTGTGTGTGTGTGTGTGTGTGTGTGTGTGTGTGTGTGGGTGTGGGCTTTCTCTGTATTGATCCCTGCATTCTGGTGAATTAAAGTATCTGTACCCCTCCCTCAAAGTACTTTGTAAAGGGGATGCGGTCGGAACGGTCAAATCAATTATACATAGCCTGGTAATTACAGTGAGGAATTAAAAGATGTGATGTCAGCATTTTGACAGCATTTTTTATCTATCTTTCCCTTTCCGTCCCTCCATCAAAAAACTGTTTGCCTTTCAGATTGTCTTTGAAAGCTCCCCCAGTTATCTTCATCTCCCTGATATGATCTGCTCTCCGTGAGCTAAGTGGTCAAGTGTGTGTGTGTGTGTGTACTGTACATCCTGCGTGCATTTGTTTCATGAGTTTTTTTTTTAACATCCACCTATACTTGGGAGAGTGCATGTGTGTCCTTATTGGGAAGCAGAGAGGGTTTAAGTGAAACGAGGCTTTTAGTAAAAAAAAACAGAACATCAACAGCACATTTGCAGGCTCAGCTAATATCGAGCCACATCAGCCATCTCTGCTTCTATATGTCCGACATTTGAATACAAGCGTCAGACTCCAGACTATGAAATGAAAACAAACAAAAAGCTACCCATTTACAGCATTTTATTGGTATATTTTATAATATATATATATATATATATTTTATAATATATATAAGTACATTAATTAACTGTCTCATCGATGTTTGTCTGTATGAATATGATACTATTAACAATCATATTATTCCTATCAGCTGTCAATCACTGTTATGATTCACATATTCATTTATTATTGAATAAACTATATTTCTTGGAGGAGTTAATGATGAATGTTCCTCAAGATGCTTGCCCACCCTCCTTCAAATTTGAAAAACAAGTCATTACTATCATATATCAAAATTCAAAAGATTCAAAGGAACAGTTCAGCGCCCCACGACTTTACTGCAAACAGTTACAACCTTGACTTTACATCAGAAAGAACACACATTAAAGAAGTGACTAACTGCATCAGTTACGGCCCGTCCACACTACAGCTTCAAAAAAAGCTTGGAGCTGGGCGTGTGGGAAGCTCGACCAACAACCAATCACATGAATCTCCCGCCCCTGACACACAAGCAGCGGTTTGATTGGCTAGAGCTTGTACTGGCATATGATTTGATTGGCTGACGCTTCCACCGAAAGCTTCAGAAGCTTCAAAAGTTGAACATTGCTCAACTTTTGCAGCCTGAAACGCCAGGAAAGCTCCGCTCTGCTTCCCACAATGCAATTCGGCGAAAAGTGACGTCACCCCATTCAAAGTGAATGGGCAGACGCGTTGGAAACCGTTTTTGAAGCTGTCGAAGCTGTAGTGTGGACGGGCCGTTAGGGTTAAAAAAATGTGTATTCAGCTAAAACATATACATCGCTGCAGTTATTATCCAGTGGAAAGCCCTTACCTACTGGCCTAGTTAAATCAAAGTGGTTACTTTTTTTTGGCTGGGCAGTGTAGTTTTACGCACCGTCTTATTTGACTTTCTCAGGACTTGAAACAGTTTTTTGGGGGCAGATCCCCACAAAGAAAAAAATATATACACACATACAAAGTCATCATCTTAACAGTTTTTTATGCTCATCGAGTCATCCGTGAGCAGAACATCAAGTTGGCATGCCTATTTCAGCTGAATGGTAGTTCCGCGATTACCATTTTGTTCAGCAAAACGCCTTACAAACTTATTAAGATCTAAAGTTTTAGTGCGTTTTGATTAAATGCTGAGTGCAGCTAAACTTGACAGTCTCTTCTCTGTCATTGTAGACCGCAAATACCTCATTCCTTCCGTCTACTTGGGTCCGAATGCTTCTTGTTTTGCGCCGTCCCGTTCAAATGAAATCGCCGCCAAGCATATTTCCAAGCTCGCGCCAGGGCCGGGGGAGGGGTTACAAGGCTCGCGTCTTGTGCTGCATTCACTTGCACTCGGACATTAGAGATTTTCTCTCATAAATGTCCGATGAGCCACAACGTTTTTTTCAAAACAAAGATGCCAACTGGGGTGGCAAGGCTATTTTTTAGGGTGGCAGTTGCCACCCCATGCCACCCCGGTAGATCCGCCCCTGGTAATGTCTAAAGGTGTTGTTTCAAAATGTCAAGCGCAGTTTATTCAGAAGCAATCACCTATGTAATAGGAAGTCACTGTAGCATTGCCAACTTCAAAATAACTTACAATAACAAAACAACAGTTGTTTGGGGCCAAGCCAAATATGAAACCAGGAGTTTTCTTTCCACTACAGGATCAATGATAAAATCCACCAAATCATTAAGGTAGACGGTAACAGGGCTGTGGTCCAGTTTCCTGCACTTACGGCAGCGGTTTTTTTAATGACTAATCCTTAAAAAGATAATTTGTAAGAAACATCTGCTTTAATATTCCACCTCAATAACGCTTACCAAGACTCACATCTCTCCCTTTAGCTGGCTTATTGATCGTAAAAGTGCTCACAAAAGACAGGACTGGTTCAATTTAAAATACTGCCAAGTGTTTCTGAGAAATATTTTTATAAAAAATGTCTTGAAAATAAGTACAGGGTCCATCAATTAATGTGCATGTGTGTACCATTTAGGCAAGAGAATAAATATAATTTCTAGGAAATAGGAAAGAAGTTTCACAAGATAAAGAGATAAAAGTAGCTGAAGACTAAACTAACTCTGTATAACTTGCTCTAAATTGGCTTTTGTTTCGTCCTGGTTTCTTTCCTTTGCTTAATTATTCAGGTAAAACGGGTCAGTTCTTGCGGCTGATCATCTGCACTAGTTTGACCCTCCTGACCCTGCAGTGCTTCATGCAGATCCCCTTCGCCTACATCCCCCCGCAAGGTAAAAAAACAAACTCGGGAAACTTCACAGATTACATTTTCACAAGTCCTGTGAGTGGACTTCAAGTATATTAGGTTGAAAAAATAACAAAGAGATTAATAAACTGAAACATTTCCTTGTTATGTAATAATGTCAACATTAAGGAACAAGAAAACTAGTTGAAAATAATGATGACCATTTTTTTAACAGTTAGTGGCCACTGGGAAGATGTCCTCTACCATTTGGGCATTATAAGGTATGGAAACACACTTGACCTTCATATTTTCATTGATCATATAATTATTTATGCAGTTTTAACTATGCAGAAGACTTCGAATAACATTTACTTCACATTACTTTAAAGCATTTTTAGAATGCATTCATATGTTCCCAATAAGTATCTTTTGCAACATTGCAAAAAGTCTCTTAAAATGTGTCTGACAATTGAATGGAAACACGGCTATTGTTATATGGTATAGCAGTACCACTAAGGTAAGTTAACTCTTAAAACTAGAACTACAGGACAACTGTGTAACTAAGCAATCACATCTCCATTCAAACCGTTCTGTTGAATGGAGATTTATGAAGAAACCTATGATAATGCTTGTGTGTTTTCAGGTTCAGCTCGGTGGATGCTGGGAACATTGTGCGTCTCTTGGCCCCGGACCTGGGCCTCCTCTTCTCTTCCCTCTTCATATTGAGGCTGTGCAGAAAACTTCTACGCTCTTTGCCCCAAGTCAGTCTGCATGAGAACGGAATACCGCCGTCAAACTCTGAGGTAATCGTTCACTCATCAATTGTTGTAACTCCACAATGCGTTAGAAAGCACATTGATATAAATCTGATTGTTTCGTGGGTCTGGCAGGAAGTGGAAACCTCTGAATCAGAGTCTGAGGATGAAAGTGACACGGAGGGCTCGTCCTTCGACAGCTCAGATGAGACTACGGTGCCGGTTCAGACGGGGCCGCCCCAGTTTGTCCAGAAGCTGATAGTGTTTGCAGCCGCACTAAGGCTGCTGCTGTCAGCGATCATGAACACGGCGGGGAAAGTGGTGGTGACTTTACTGCTCGGACTGGCAGGTACATTACAGCAGCTTGTGTGAGCATGCAGGTATATGGTAGTATTCAGGGGAGACACTACAGCTGAGTCAGGTTAACACTTTAACTAATAGATATTACCAAGAAACTTACTCACTTGATTACTTACATGAAGAAATCATTTTATTTGTATTTATTTATTTGAATTAAACATTGCTGATATTTTTTAAATATTCATGAGGTATAATCTTATTAAGTAACTACGAATTTGCAAAAACTGAAATACTGGTGTTGGATAAAGCCAGGGTAATTTTTTTATTTTGTTGACATATTAGAGTGAAAGGTTTATGCAGAGGGAATGTTGGTTATATCTTTGTATCACTCCATTAATAAGGAAATATAGACATATAGAATGAAAAAATGCTGTTGCCTGAAGTGTCTTAGGATGTTTTGTCTACTTTTTTTGTTTTACTTGGCTTGACATACTGTGTGTGTGTGTGTGTGTGTGTGTGTGTTCAGGTATCATGCTACCATCCCTCACCTCAGGGGTGTATTTCGGAGTGTTTCTGGGGCTGGTTTGGTGGTGGGTGTTCAGCCGCTCCATCAGCATGCTGCTCTTCAGCTCTCTGTGTGTGATGTTGGCCATCTTCAGCGGAGGACACCTGTTGGCTCTCTACCTCTACCAGCTGCCTCTGTCCCAGCAGCTGATCCCCCCGAAGGACGTCTATGCCAGGTACAGTAGGGATAAAAGAGTAGGATTAAACTGATGTATATTGGACTGCTTTTATTATTAAATAAATAAACTATAAACTAATAAATAAACAAAATATGCTTCAAGGTTTTCTGGGAATTAGTCAGGTAAATATTTCAATGGAAGGTGCATCTACATCAGAATCAGGTCATCTGTTTATCAATTTTCAAATCAAATCAAGTTTTATTTATATAGCACATTTATAAACGATTTTTGGTCGAGCCTAAGTGCTGTAAATATAATAAAAATAGCCTACAGTAGAGACACTTTACAGCAAATACAACAGCACAGATTGTTCAGAATATCAGTATGAGAAAAACGACACCCTCTATCCTTAGACCCTCACATCGTACAAGGAAAAACTTCCAGAGAAAACCCACAGTTTAAAGGGGAACATGGGAGAAACCTCAAGGAGAGCAACAGAGGAGGGATCCCTCTCCCAGGACGGACAGACGTGCAATAGATGCCGTGTGTAAATCGAAGAGATAATACATTTTACAGCATATAGACCGAATGTTAGGAAATGCATGTGTTTGTAATAAGAAGATGAATCCACGAGGATGTCAGCTACAATCCTGTGGAAGCCATCAGGGAAGCAGCATGGCGAGACCCAAGGCAGGACCGCAGAGACAGGTTCAGCCACGACCCGAAGTCCACGACTTAATCCAGAACTCAATTTTGACAATACACCCACACCTGTTAATATATCCTGGACTTCGTTGACGCTTTTTTTAGTTTTTTTTGTTTATGTGATATTTTATTGCGTGGGGAGATGAGAAAAAAGCAAATATTGTTGCCAGGCAAAAATTATTCAGATCTAGACCTTTATTTATTGGCTTTATTTAAATTGCCCTTTACCTTCTTCCTGGTTGGTTTACCTCCAGGTTAGCATTCTCCTTAAAGTTTGACTAAAATATATTTGTATAACCACTAAGTATGTCTCCCTCTATCTCTCCCTCTCTATCCTGCAATTGTCCCACTCTACCTGTGGCAGGTTGTTTGGTATGACAGGAGTGATCCGAACCAACAGTTCTGACCCGTACATGCTCGGTCTGCACCCACATGTCAGCTGGCCCGACTTTATCAACCCTTTGGTTCTGCTGCTGCTCTACTACACTCTGGTGGCTCTGCTGCACAAATGGGTCCACATCACAGAGGAGGTTTGTACAAGTGGTATTTGCGGGAATGATGTTTTGTTATATTGTGTGTGAGTGTGACGTTGGTGTTCCTGAGGCACTTGTTTGTTTCAGACTCTGGTTTAAGTGGGAAAACGTTAAAAAAAAGCAGAAATCTACTACTGTGAATTATCTCTTTAACCAAAACATACACATTAAAGCTATTCTATCATCCATTTATCAAGCATCCCTGGAAACAGTTTGGCCCACTTCCAACTTTGAAAGGCTAATGCTGGAGGGTTGACAATACAGAATACTACTACTACTCCTACTATTGCCACGGCTACTACTGGAAATGTTACAAAAGTTCTGTTTAGCGTTAAACATAGAGGCACATACAAGCACTGAGACAATTTTACCTCACGTGACAGGCTTATCAAATAGAGTTGTGTTTCTCAGGATGCTGTGGATGATGAGGAGTGTGAAAGTCCAGCAGGAAGTCCAGAGGATCCTCCCAGCTTCTCCCGGGTCATCTACATCACAGGAGATAAGCAGGAGGTAACCCACAAAAATTGATGTGTTTTATTATTTCAGTGATCAGTATTCTACCGTTGTCCACATTTTTAGGTGTTCTGGATAGTATCAGCTACACATTGTGACAGAAGTCATAGTTTTACTACTATTTCACTTCGTGCTGAAACACAAGTCAGCATTTAAAAATTGCCATTTTACAATAAATATAAAACCACTCTAAGATTTTCTGAATTTTCAGCTTTTGAGTAGCACGGACGAGGAAACCTATCTTCCTGATGAGGTTAGTCATTTTATTTGTAACCCTAGAGTTCAAGGTTTATCGTGTTTTTGACTGATTATAAGGTGGGCCATGTGAATATTGGACTAAATGTACGGTATGATGTGCTCTCTTTCTGCAGCCAATTATTTTAATACCAGGGAGTTCCTGGCAAGATGTCCATAGAAATGATCTCTGCTCTCTGTTAGACGTGGCAGGGTACACAAACTGTTACCTTCCACCACAGTATGAAGGCAAAGGCTCCCCGTCACATGGTAATCACTTAAATCCCATAAAAACCTTATCAATATATGTATTAGTTTGCTTAATCTGTTTACTAATCTCTTTATTTCTTTACTTTTACCTCTCTTGTGCCAGAGACAGAAGGAGAGGGAGAAATGGAGGAGAAGTCTGAAATGGACTTGAAAACCCAAACAGAGACCTTGCCTCCCCCCTCAGGCCCGAGTGGTCTGGTCATCTTTGGACGCCTGGTGCAAAAACACAGCTATGTCAGCGCACTCATTATCATGATGGTAAACCACCTTATCTAAAAAAGGGAATCTTTTTCTAGAATAGGTTGGCTCAGTAATGTGGAGATAACATAAAATAAGGAGGATTCATATGTTAGAGTAGTAAAAGGGAAGAAGTTGGTACAGATAAGTATAACATGTTATAAAATATATTACAAAAGACCCCTGCAACTTAAATGTGTAGTACATTTGATTTTCTTTACACTATTGATTGATTCCACAATTATTTTTAAATTAAATGATTGTAGTGAAAGAACATTTCCCAAAGCCAAAGTTCATTTCTTCAAATGTTTTGTTTTCCCAAATCCCAAACAAAGGTAAAATGTATTATCATATTGAAAAATTACTTAAACAATTAAGGTATTATATAATAGTTGGTTATTCATTTTCCTTGAGTGACTGATTTACCTTTTGAGTGAGTAAAGATTAGCTTGCTTAGTACCTTATTGGGCTAATTAAGTTAGCACACCATGATAGCATTAGCTGTGATAGCTAGCATTAATTCAAAGGATTTAAAACAATATAACTGATATTGTCATGTTGTTTGCTTACCATCTTGCTTTTTCGAGACAAAAACCGACGAATACAGCGCAAATATGGTCTTTAACGTTAGAATCGTATGTTTAGCAAGAAAGGTACAATTAGCTTAGTAGCTAGCTAAAGTTAGCTGCAGTTAACTGCCACCTGAACAAGATAACATAAAATATAAGAAAGGCATATATTTGAAAAGCTTTTTCAATGGAACAATGTCACATTATCAAACATGTGTATATTTAGGTGTGGAGTATCACCTACAACAGCTGGCTGACCTTCGCCCTGCTGGTGTGGTCCTGTATTATCTGGATGATGCGGGACCGCCGGCGCTACGCCATGCTGTCGGCGCCCTTCCTGGCGGTATACGGCACCGCACTGCTGCTTCTGGGCTTCCTCAGCGGCCTGCGGCTCAGCCGGGCCGAGCTGTACCCCGGCCTGCCGAAGGCCGTCATCACCGACTTCGACCTGAACAGCTACCATCCTGCGCCCTGTGTCCACCTGGGAGCAAAGGTACAATAAAATACCATTAACTCAATTGAAAACGTTATGAGATCATGGAGATATTTATAACGAAAACTTTCTCGTGCTTTTTTTTACAACTTAAGTTGTTGTTGTAACAAATAGGTTACATTTCGAGCAAAGGTACTTTTGTGTTTCTGTTGTATCCTTCTTTAAACTTGTACATTTTGTCAATCAATATTGTACGTTTTATATGGTAGAATAAGTAGGTTACTCAGATGTACATTCAGTACAGTGTAATAATAATTTCAAACAAAAGTATTAACAAAATATACTCAAGTATCAATATTAAAAGTACTTATTATGCTTAATGACCTGTTTCACAATAATATTATGTTAGTTGATTGTGATTTTTATAGGATTCATGTGTTCATCAATTTCAACATCATTTTTTGTACTGCTGCATAGCTTAAAGGTGGGGTAGGTAATTTTGGAGAAACCAGCTCGAGTGCGCTAGAATTTGAAAATACACAGCCGGAAAAAATCTGCCACTTCCTTACAGAGCCCCTCCTCCAACACACACGAACGCGCACATGACCAATGAGGGCACGAGATAAGTTTGTGCACGGATGGAAGGCTGACAGGCAGGTAGGCCATCCAGTTACTTTAGCCTAAAATGATTGGTCGTGCTTTTTACAGAACTACGGCTTCCACAGATTACATTTTTTATAGATTTTTTGTCAAAGCACTTCAGATATTCATTGCTATCGGGACGTTAAGAGCATTCCATGGAATATAACAAAAAGTGTATCTCGAGCCGGTTTCTCAAATTTACCTACCCCACCTTTAATCTAGAATAATATATCATCAATTGGTATCTGATACATCTCTAACAAAATGTTACTTAAAAATAAGATTGGTTCTTGGAATAATGCTGCCATGTCTTCCCAAGAACACTGAGGATACAGAAAAAAACGAAATCTCCCATGTGGAGTTAACCAGCATGGTTTAATCTTATTGCTTATAGGAAGCGGTTTGAGAAAATGGGTAGGCCTACTCAGGATCATTAAAGAAGATGACACATGAAGGCATCATTTCATCTTCTTAGGATCTACGCAAATCGATCAGCCCTTAACACGTCTGACACATTTTCCACCAGTTAATGTAGTTCAACCTAATCTGTCTTTGTCATCAAGCTTTTTTTTTAAATCACCAAGCAGAGTCTTACATTTATATCTGTAACCCATTTCTTGATAGTAACACAACAACTGTTTATAACATAACTATGTTTACAAAAGCAAATTGTAAAACTGTGTGTTTTGTACTCATGATACACTTTTGGTGCCGCAGGTCTTCTACAGTTTCAGCTTCTGGTTGATGTTTCGTCAGCAGCTAAAGGAGAGACAGGAGGAGCAGAGCTTAAAGGCCGAATCTCTTGATCAAGTCGTGTCAGGTAATATATTTTTGAACTGCTTTGATTACCGGCTTGAATTTTAGAAAATAATATTTCATTTGGAGTCTTCAGTCTCTTGAAATGTTTGAGACTGAATTCAATTTGACTAAAATAAAAAAAATGTCTCACTTTTTCTCATTCTCTTCCTGTTGGTTAATTATTTCCTGTCCCTGCTCATCCTTCTTTTCTTTTTATCAGAGGAGGAAAGTCCGCCATCACCTCTGGCAGTGATGCTGATCTCAGGAGTGAAAGGGACACTGGTGAAATACTGGATCCTCTTCTGCTGCTCCATGTTCTTTGTGATCAGCTTCTCTGGAAAGGTATTTACTGACAAACTTAAACCCTGAGAATGCAGGATGTCCTCTCTTTTATTAATTGTTTTATTGTATTTAAATGCACCTAATTATGACCCTGTTTCACTTGCTTAGGTGGTTGTCTACAAGATCCTCTACATTGTCCTCTTCCTCTTCTGTGTTGTCCTCTACCATGTAAGTGATTTCAGTAATTTGGCTGCTAATACACAGCCGACATTTAATCTGTCTGTCTTTTGTAATGAAGTAAAGTGACTTTAGTCATCAAGATATTGCAGTGAAGCTATAACTCATTGAACATCTCGTATAGCAATGACCTGTATGTTAGACCTTCGTGTGTAAATGCATTTATTCCCGGACTAAAAGGGGGTGTAAATTTGATATTGAGATGGCAGGCCTCAATAAATGGAGAGGAAATCTGCTTTTATAGCCGAGACATTGTTGCGTAACACACAAAGCCACTATCATTTCAGGGTCAGCTTACACTGTAATGTGTTGGATCCTGAATTATCATCAGTGAACCATTCAGCTGCTGTTTGTGCATGAAAACACTTGCCCTTATATAAACTCTGTGCCGCTCATGGATGCTATTTTACAGTTAAAAGTATTGATTATGACTTATAAACACGTACACAGTCTTTTTTGCTTCTATTTTCCAGTTTTTTCCTCCTCCATCTTATGTTTCTGCTGACCTTTTAGAATCACGTCGGCACTTACAGGAAGACCTAATGACTGTTGAGGCGACGTAAGACATAACAACATCATGTATCTGTTCGGACAACATCAGCAACACCCTGGTGTTTTAAATACTGCAGAGTGGGATGAAAGGGATATAGGAAACACTGTTGTTATGTTGATGTTTCGGAGACGGAAACATTTAGCTTGAGTTCTGATTGAGTAACTTTGGTTGTTGTTGAATACGAAAAGGAGAACTAAATTACAATGACTGTAGCACTAAAATAAGCTGTAGTTCAATAATGAGGTTAAAGGGACAGTTCAAAACTACATTTTTATTATCTTACCTTCAGTGCTATTTATCAATCTAGATTGTTTTAATGTAAGTTGCAGAGATAGTTGGAGATTTTGGTTGTAGAGATGTCTGTCTTTTCTCCAATATAATGGAACTACAATAGATCGCACTCGACTTGCAGCGAAAAAAACATTAAAAGAATGTAACAGCAATGAGTCTTTTCAGAAATCCTCACCCAGTTACTCAAGATGTTGAGGACAGTTTCATTTAGGACATATTTTCTTTCTACAAAACTGCATTTGCCAACATTATAGTAATAGAAGTAGTAGAACTGACTGCAACTAACCAAAATGAGCCAGATGATAGAAAGCACTATTTTTTATTTTGCATTTTACCTCTTAAACTAACTAATATCAATGTATTCTACTGTTAAATTCATTGTTAATTAACTCAAGCAGTAATTATTACATTACAATGAGTGTAACATTACATTACATTTAGCTGACGCTTTTATCCAAAGCGACTTACAATAAGTGCATTCGACCAAGAAGATACAAACTGGACTCTAGAATAAGTTGAAAAATAATGAGTTAAGATCTGTAAATGCAGCGATAAGGTATTGTATCACTCTGTCTGTTTTCTCTCAGATCCGTTACGACGTGTGGCGGCGGGTGCTGAAGACGTTCTGGGCGGTGGTGGTCGGGTACTCCATGGTGGTGTTGATCGCCATCTACATGTACCAGTTCAGAAGCGTGTCCGGGCTGTTCAAACAGATCATGGGCATGTCTGAGGAAGGGTGAGCTTCTTTTTTTAATGGTCTTTTTGAGAATGAAGCAAGAAAATTCATGATTCATCAGACAGCAGACCTTTCTTGTTTGTTATAATGTCAATACATCTGTTTCTTCTCAGTCTTCGTGACATTGGTTTGGAGCGTTACGACACAGTGGAGCTGTTTGCACGTATCCTGCTTCCTGCTGTGTTCCTATTGGCCTGTATACTCCAGCTGCACTACTTCAACTCAGACTTCCTGACTCTCACTGACCTCGACAACGTCCCCATCAGAGAGGCTCCCAGGTGAGAAGGCAATAATATGCGCAGGCACAGAAAATAATGCCCTAAAGAAATAAAAGTGTCACTAAATAAATGTGTCAAGCAGAAATAAGATCACTTATATTAAGAGTTTCTATAGGAAAAGCACAAAATCAGTTTTTCAGAGTTATTTATATCTGGTCATTATTAGACAGTAATATGGAGCATTTTCTACTGATCCTTTATTTTTATTTATTTAAAAAATAGTACAAATAAATAAATAAATTCCTGAGCCTGCTTCATGAACGTTACTATTTATACCATTCTTTCTTGAATGCTAAAACAAACACTTTCTGTTGTTTTTGTATTTAATTGACAGCAAAACATATATAACGGCTTGTCTCATTTGTATTTGATTGTCTCCTTTCCTCCTCCCAGAGAAGAAGAGCTCAGGATTTCAATGAATGTGATATCTGAGATGTAAGAGATACATTTATTCCTACATAAATGTTTTGAGGCCCTCACATTTCAGATGGCCCATCACAATGATCATATCTCACACAGTTGATGTATTGCCTGTAGATATACAGTAATCAATGTTTAGTCAGTACGCTAGCTATACGTGGTGTAAATGTATTACCTAGGAAACATTAGTTTCTGCTTACGTTGTGTGAAAGGTAATCAAAAGTGACATGGAAAGAATGATTGACTTATTTTAGTGTTCATCACAGTAACATAAATATCATAATTGTCATGTGACTCTTTTTGATTTAATTTATAGCATCAAAGAAAACATTGAAAAGATCCAGAAAAGGTAAGGCTGTTGTTTGAATCTTGGTTATTTTGTTCAGATCAAAGCTTACAGATCAGCATCTACAGTGCCTCTACCTTTGTATGAAATACACAAGGTGGGCTACCCAATAAATCAAAGTCTTAGTGTCAACTAATGTGTGGACACATAATAACTGATAAAACCTCTCCTTGGTGCAGAATCTTCTCAGTTTTGTAAGTTTCTCTTAATATAGTTTTCCAATACTTAATATTCAAGACATTTTCTCCATTCCTCAAGACTTGTGAAGGAGCAAATGGGAAATGGGAAGAGTCAGGAGACTTTGGACAGCGTTGGATTACAAACCTCCTCAGAGAAAGGAGCGGAGGATCAGGAAGAGAAGACAGAGGAGGGTAACTACAGCTTAATACCATGCTTAATACCCAAATATGACTCCTCAGCCTCCATTAGGCCAATTAGGCCTGGGACTAATTGAACAATGAGCTTACAACAAGTTTGTTTTTAGTTTCATTGATTCTTTTTATACATACAATTGGCAATAATGTTAAAGTGCTTGTGAGTCATAGTGTCAAGTTAAAGTAGTGCATTACAACAGACATCTTTGCTGTTTGAGCCATATGAGAGTTGTTCAAATGATGTCTTCTCCTCCTCCCAGAAGCTGTCCCCAGCAGTCTGGAGGATAAGTGGATTGTGATCGTGGACCGGGCGAGCCTGCTGCTCATTCAGGCTCTGTCAAGACTCCAGAAGCTGCAGGAGCAGAGCTGGAGGCTGCTGGAGCTCCACAGCCTCAAAATCGTGTCCTCCGGCATCATCTGGGTGTCACTGCAAGAGGTGGGGTAAATAAACGTTGGAGTCTGTGTGTTACTCAGCTCATATTTGATTATTATAAAAAAAGTACAGAAAAAAGTTTACCAAAGCTTTCTTGGAATAAAATATTTGTCACTAACATTTTATTTGCCCCAGTTCAAATGTGGTGTTCTTTGCGTAGTCATGTACTTAAATGTTAAGTGATACCTCTTCATTTTTCACAGGTTTCTCTGATGAACTCACTCTTCCTGGTTCTGTGGGTGTTTGCGCTCCCGTTCTCAAGGTTACGACCTGCGGCCTCCAGCATCTCAGCGGTGTGGGCCTGCGTCATGGTGGTGTGCAAGATGTTTTACCAGCTCAAAGTCATAAAACCGCTCGATTACTCCTCTAACTGCACAGTTGTGAGTATCCTTACAGCATGTGTGTTTCTAACAGCTGCATCCCCTGTCAGTGGGCGTTAACCTTGTTTGTATCTCAGGGGCTGGTGCCGTCCAACAGCTCGGGCCTGGATGACGGGGCGAAGCTGAGGGGGAACATGGTGGAGCTGCTCACCAGGTCTATTCTCTACATCGAGCCTGTGGACCCAGTGTACTGGTGCGGAGCGCTGCTCAAATGTGAGGGCAGGATCCTCCCCTGTCTCAGGGTACGGTGATACGCCTGCCGAAGTCTAAAAACATTGTATCTTTCTTAATCCCAACAATCATACAAAGCTGCTCTTGAAATCCATTATTAAAGATCAAGTACATTCCATCAAGAGTGGGACCCTGCTGTGCATTTATTGTAGGTGAAATAGCATTTATAAATTCCTTTTTTCTCCTTTTTTAAGTTAAAAAGTAACAACAAGCAATAACAAGGCCATTGGATGAACAATACATTTAAAGAACAATATTGCAGTACATACAATAATTATAAGAGGTTTGTCTCTTTCCCGCGGTTTATTTATAAATTCTTTGTGGAGTCTTATAAAGTAGATTTAGGTGTTTAACATCATTGACAAATAGGCTGGCATTCAGTTTTTCTGAAGACTATATTTAGTAATGGCCTTTTTATGTGTCATCAGCCAGATCTAAATGAGGTATGTCTCATCTTTAGTTGGACTGTCAGATGTATCAAAGATGTAGCAGTGTGAATGTTAAACCTTTAACTTTTGTGTTGTAGAACCACCTGATGGTGCTCGGGCTGCTGGTGTTCGAGGCAACCGTCCATCGGCACCAACTCTACTTCCGTCTCCATAACAACCTGAAGACCCCGTCCTTCAGCATCATCTTCCAGGGCATCACGAGGCAGCACCTTGATCACGGCGTCCTGCCCTGCATCAAGTACTTCATCAACTTCTTCTACTACAAATTTGGATTGGAGGTACCTATCAGGAACTGGAGTGTGGGTCTGTGTATCGAAACTGTGTTTGACTTTGACTTAATAACATACCCTCACTTCTTCTTAGATCAGTTTAATCGTGGCGGTCAATGTGATTGGTCAGAGGATGGATTTCTATGCCCTGCTGCATTCCTGCGCTCTATTGGCTGTTGTGTCTCGGAGACGCAGGAAGGCCATCGGGGAGGTGTGGCCTAAATACTGCTGCTTCACTGCGGGGCTCATGGTGCTGCAGTACCTGCTCTGCATCGGCATCCCTCCTGCCGTCTGTGTTGGTATGGACGCTTGTAATTCAGATTTTTATGCAAATATAATATTGATATAATTATAAATTCAGGTCCCTTTTTTAAATACCCTGTCGTTGTATGGTCACCAGCTCGCAGAAAGAATATTTCTAAAAAGAGTCTTAAGCAGTTTGATTTAAATATATCGATGAGGAACTTGAGTAGTGATAAAGAAGTTTAAACTCTAGGGATGAAGAGGCTATAGTATGATCTACACAAATTGCTGAACAAGAGATTGAATAAAGAAACATGTGCAAAATATACATTTTTAAATATAAGGCAAAGCACACAGGAAATATGTCATCAAATGATCTGTCACTTTAATAAACTATTAATGGTTTGGTAAGTAAGCTAACATAAATTATAGGGTGATATAACGTTATCCTACAATGGTAGAAATAGAGACAAGTTGGTAATGAATGTTCTGTCACTTCACCTAATGATTAATTCTCCTTTCACACAACCTCAAAATAAAAAATGTCCCTGCTGCATATACGTCATGCTATATCATTGTATGCTTTTCTATTCCAATGTATTCTCTTACCAGATTACCCCTGGAGAACGGCACTTAGACCTCTCACCTCAAATATTATCAAGTGGTTTTACCTGCCGGACTTCGCCATGAGCCCCGATCCTTTATTCATATTCTGTGAGTTTAATTTAGCTATCTTTATTTTCTTCTCTCCTCTCCTGATTTGAATCTCTTCCTCGTGTCAGATGTTGACCCCTCCTCTCTCTCCTGCCCTCTGCAGACGACCACCTCCTGCTGCTCTGCTCCTCTCTGCAGTGGCAGGTGTTTGAGGAGGAGAACCGAGCGGCTGTGAGACTGCTGGCTGGAGACAACGTGGAGATCAGTCGTAGTCTGGACTCTTCTTCCTGCAACTCCTTCATCCCTGTCGATAACTTCCTTCACTGCAGGTCAGGAAAACAGCAAGCACTTCTTTTCATTTAGTTTTTCATGAAGTATTTTTAATCAGTAAAGTAGTCCTTCTTCCATTTCAAATACATTTCAGACTTCTTTTGGTCAGTTTTTAGGTTTATTTTATGTTATGTCATAACCAACTAAATCTTGATCTAAAGCTCCTTCTAACATATATATTATATCGATTTTATATATATGTTTTATATTTTGTATACACAATATTTTATATTTGGTATATATATATTTACTTTAAAATAATAACAAAAAAAGAATGTATGATGTAAAAAAGTGCAGAAGTTAAAATGTAAGATATATAAAACAATAAAATAAATGATATAAAGTAGTGGTAGAGACAGTGATTGCAAACAGGAATGAGGAGTCTATACTTTAAGGGGTTACTTTTGATGTATGATAAAAAAAATTCTCTGCCCGACATGGCCCTGAGTGTCTTTATTTAAAGACCCTCACATATGCCAGGAAACTCATAACATATTCCATGACTTGTTTAGTTACTTCAAACAGCTTCCTGCTCTGTATGTTCAATTAATGAAAGCGGTTCTAATAAACTGAGACTGCTGGATAAGCATCTATGGACGTCTCCGATTTAGTTTATAGGCTTGATTCCACATCAGCTGGGGTCCTTTAACAGTTTCAGTAACAATGTAAAGAAGCTGCATTGTTTCTAATGAACTCATGAAGCTGGCTTTTAAGTCCGACCGGTGACTGTGCATACAAAAATCTCAGTTTCTCATGTATTGTTCACAGTATTTCATTAAATACCCCTCTTGAAATCTGTTCTGGCAGCTTGTTGTTTTTTCTTTATGCCTCTCTTTCTCAGCGTCACTCTCTGTCTGCTTCTCAGGTGCTACCTCGACATGGCCAAAGTGTTTGTGTTCAGCTATTTCTTCTGGCTGGTGCTGTGCCTCATCTTCATCACCGGCACCACGCGGATCAACATCTTCTGCCTGGGCTACCTGGTGGCCTGTTTCTACTTCATGCTGTTTGGAGGCAGCGTGTTGCTGCAGCCGGTCAGATACATCCTGCGCCTGTGGGACTGGCTCATCGGATACACCTGCTTCGTCATCGCCATGAAGAACCTGCTGTCTGTGAGTCAACACACCAAAAACACATGCAGTTTTTAAGACGCCTAGCACTTCATTTATTTCAAACTTCATACAGTCAACTGTGCCTTCTATGTGGTTTATTTGTGTGTGGTCAGCTGGGGTCTTGTGCCTACCTGGACAGCCTGTTGAAGAGCAGCTGCTGGTTTATTCAGGCCTTCAGCCTGTTCTGCACCATCAAAGGCTACGACGTCCGTGAGTGATACATCTCAGCACAATCTTCTCATTGTATAGTAAATAGGTGTTATCATATTTGCTGAATAGAAATAATACAATTATACAGTTAATGTTAGACTTCAGAGTTACATCTTAAGAGGATTCAGAAATGAGGTTACTTAAACTACTTAGGAGCATTTGACGTTCCTAAATGGGTTAATGCCTGAACACTTAATCCATGCCCCAAAAGTTAAATTAACGTTTGTCAGGTCAGCAGACCTAAAGGATGGACACACATTCCACAACGTCCAGGGTAATACAACTTTCCAAAACAAACTGTCTATTAACAATCCATTAAAGTACATTGAACAATTGCATAAAGAAAAAGCAGTCATACCAAAGCCATAATTCTATATTTCAAAGATACATCCTCTTTATAAGCATCACATTCTTCATCCTATATAATACAATATAAATCCACTACATTACAATTATTGCATCGAATTTGAGAAAATGAGAAGAGCTGTTGAACACGTACATAAATCAATTATATTTAGCTAGATCAAACCACAGTTAGAAAACAGAGACCTCTCTTATTATAAAATGATTAGGCATATTTACAAACCCGTGTGTCACGGTCTATAATTAATTTGAAAAACCATCATGATACACCATCATTTTTCATTTGAGAGAACACGTCTTGGTTTACGCCTCTTGGTGTGAGAGTATGATGTATAATCTAAAATCTCTCTTTCATACTATAACTTACACATTATATAAACAGAGTCTAACATATTTCTCCCGTCCCGTCAGCTGCTCCTGACGATGGGTGCGAGCTGCCGGAGGGTGAGGCCGGCATCGTCTGGGACGCCATCTGTTTCACGGTCCTGCTGGCTCAGAGGAGGGTCTTCCTCAGCTACTACTTCCTCTACGTGGTGTCGGATCTCAAGTCCTCCAAGATCCTGGCCTCCAGGTCTGCGACCCCAACATACTTATAGCACCAGCAAAGGAAGTGTACAATAAGGCAGAGGGGACACAAATTAGAAACTAGAAATTGTGTGTGGATATTTTTTTCATTAATATTCAAAACGTTATTCTTTATACGTGTTAAAATGTTACAGACTTGCTAAAAGATAATCTATGTTAAGCATGCCATTAGTTGGAAATAATTCATTTGAAATGAAGTCATAAGAACTTTTCTAGGAAACATCTTATTACAAAAATTAGGAATTGATTCTTTACAAAAAATGTTGTAACATTTCTGACTATAGCTGAAACCAGAATATTATTTTTTACAGAGACAGGCTGTTTTTCAATATGACCTGTCTCCTCCTCTAAGGGGCGCTGAGCTGTTTGAGGCCAGAGTGAAGAAGGAGGTAGCAGCCAGGCTGGAGATGGAGAAGAAGTCTATGCAGACACTGAAGAAACAGTAAGACATTAAATAGATACCTCAAAGACCGCACCTACAGGGTTACTTGGAGAGGGTCCGAGTCCGACCCTTGTCAATTAACTACAGGGGTCCCTCAGGGCTCGGTTCTTGGTCCCCTCCTCTTCTCCTTATACACAAACTCGCTCGGATCTGTCATTAGCCCGCATGGTTTTTCATACCACTGCTACGCTGATGACACCCAATTAATTCTGTCCTTTCCCCGCTCAGAGACCCAGGTCGTCGCACGCATCTCTGCTTGTCTAGCTGATATCTCTCAGTGGATGTCTGCTCATCACCTCAAGCTCAACCTTGACAAGACTGAACTGCTCTTCCTTCCGGGAAAAGTTTGTCCCACTCTTGACCTGACAATCAACATCGGCACCTCAGTTGTTTCCCCGACTCAGACTGCAAGGAATCTGGGTGTGACCCTAGATAACAACCTGTCCTTCACTGCAAACATAGCTGCTACAACCCGTTGCTGCAGATACACGCTTTACAACATCAGGAAGATACGTCTCCAGCTGACTCAGAAAGCGACTCAGGTTCTGGTTCAGGCTCTCGTCACCTCACGCCTAGACTACTGCAACTCCCTCCTGGCTGGTCTACCTGCATGTGCCATCCGACCTCTGCAGCTCATCCAGAATGCAGCGGCTCGTCTGGTCTTCAACCTTCCTAAATTCTCCCACACCACGCCGCTCCTCCGCTCTCTTCACTGGCTTCCGGTAACTGCTAGAATCCACTTCAAGACACTGGTACTTGCTTACCATGCTGCGAATGGATCTGGCCCTTCCTACATCCAGGACATGGTTAAACTGTACACCCCAGCGCGTGCACTACGCTCTGCATCAGCCAAACGACTCGCTGCACCCTCGCTGCGGAGGGGACCCAAGTTCCCATCAGCAAAAACACGTGGGTTTGCTATCCTGACTCCAAGATGGTGGAATGAGCTCCCCATTGACATCAGGACGGCAGATAGCTTGCACACCTTCCGGCGCAAACTGAAAACTCATCTCTTTCGACTCCACTTCGAGCGATAGAACTATTAACAAAGCACTTATATACTCATAAAGGACTGGCTTACCTAAAGCCAGTTGAGTAGCACTTGAAATGTTTTTGCTCTATGAAGCCTGATGTACTTATATGATTCTGTTTTCTTCAAGTTTGTATTTTGTTGGTCGAACGCACTTATTGTAAATCGCTTTGGATAAAAGCGTCAGCTAAATGTAATGTAATGTAAAATAGCATAACATTTAGTGTAAAGTACATTTACAACAACTCAGCTGTTCTGACTGAATGAAATAATAACATCACGTTCTACTGTCTCCCAACACAACTTCCCCTCTTAATATCCCACTTTATCATCTTCCCACCCTCTTCCTGCAGGATGGAGAAGATCAAATCTAAACAGAAGGGTGGACCAGCAGACAAACCAGCTCTTCCTGCTGATCAGGAGCAGGTTACACTGGGTAACTAAAACAAATACATTTTCTGTTTCTACTGTTTATTAAACAATGGAGTCTTTGTCATTTAAAGGGAAAACTCCTGCATATATCTAACATAACTAAACCGATCGATCTGTGTTTTCCAGCTGACGATGAGAAGGCTAAGAAAGACGTCGGAAAATGGTGGAAGCCCTGGGTGTCTCAGCCTGGAGGTGAGAGGCAACATGTTAAACTGTTTAGAGCTGTTTCTGATCATTCGATCTCCTATTATTTGTCACGTGTTTTTAACTCTATGGCTATGCAGTAAATCAGTGAATTCAGCCTCTGAGCTGCACTGGAGCAGCTTTGGATCATTGTATGCATTGTGCTGCAGTTTCTGACATCGCTCTTTTTATGCAGTGGAAAACAACTGTGGCTACCACCTGTTTGAGAGTGACAGTGAGGAGGAAGAGGAGGACGTTACAGAGAAGAATGAAGAGAAACCACCACCGAAGAAGAAATCTGCTTTCCAGGTGAGAGCCAGCAAAAACACAGCGTACATACAAAAGAATGATGAATACATTTCGTTTTTTCCATATGTTAAATGATCTTAAACACTGATGGATGTTTCTTTGTTATCCTTAGTTGAGAGGTGTGTTTGTGTTTTTGTTTTTCCCAGTTGGCGTACGACGCCTGGGTCAACAGCTCTAAGTCGGCTCTTAAGGACCTGAAGAAGGAGAAAAAAAAGATAAAGAAAGAGGAGAAGAAGAGAGCAAAGAGAGAGCTGCAGAGACAGCAAGGTGAGAGACTCTCACATCTAACCCTCCTGTAGTCTTCATTTATTCATGGTTTGATAGAGGGTCATTCAAATCATAAGGTTTACCCTCTGCGTAGTATGAACATATATGGATAATTTAAACGCAGTAGATTAGGGGTGTCCAAGCGGCTGCCTGTGGTCCATTTTGAATTGGCCCTCAGCCAATTCTGAAGTATAATTGAATATGGCCCACACATGAATTTTGTGCTTGTCTCATAATATACTTCTTAAATATTTCTTACCAAATTCTACACAGTATTAATATGTATTAATTTGCCCCATTTTCACATAAATACAGTCAATTCATGTTGAAAACATTCTCTGACAAATCTTAGTTGATAGAAAAAGCCCAATAACTTATTTCCATAAGTTTTTGGCTGATTTGAGGAATGAGCTGCCAACACTTTTTGTTACAAAATAAATGCAGCTCTGTTAATGGAAAGCTGTGATGTAGGCTCTTTTAGCATATTCAATTATCAATAATAATTTACCTACATTTGATTGATTTAGCTAACTTAATAACTTAATTTATGAGGCCCAGCAATTCTTATATTTTTCTGTATGCAGTAGATGATAAGATAAAACATTTTCTTTTCCAAAGTTTTCTTCTGCCCTTAGTGTTCCAAATAAAAGGGCCATTAAATACGTCTTTGCTTCATTCTGTCCATCACATAATAATCTTGTGTAAAGGTTGGCAATATGGCACCTGAGAAAAGGTCAGGTTGGACAGATGTGTTGGTTCCTTGGTGTAAACCACACCTTCAAAAGGGATTCTGGAGCCAGAGGAGAGGTCAAGAGGTCACATGACTCCTGAGTTGTTCAGACATCCTGCTGAAATATTTCAACAATAACACTTTCTTTGTTCCAGGCATTGAAAGAGCAGACTCTAGTGAGGATGACCTGGATGAAAGCGTTATGGAGGAAGAGGGAGAGGAGGAAAAAGGTAAACAGACATAAGTCCCTGCATTCAACTGGATTATACCACAAGTAAAATGAATATGACTAAATGACTTTCTATTTGTTATAACTGTGATATGAACAAGCTGGGAAGCCTTACATCTAAACACATTTGTAATGTGATCACAGAAAACATCCTGCAGCGTGTCGTCAGCACCCTGAAGTTCGGTGTTGTGTTTGTGAAGTCTCTTCTGGACGACCTGACGCAGGGCCTGAACTCCTTCTGCAAAGAAGGCCTGGACATTTCCAAGGTGCTGCGCTTCGAGCGTGCGTTACTCAACCAGCAGCAGAAGAAGGTGAGAGGAAAGGATGGAGAGCTGATGATGGTTTATTCAAGACTGGGTTTGAGTTTTAGCCTCAACACGATCCATAGATTTTTTATCATTTTAAATTCTATTCCCAAGTAAAACTTTGGTCTGACTTTAAGGTACTTTTACCTGACTAACATCTGTGACACAGAAAGTGAGTCTGTTTCTCAGTTTTTTGTTGATGAATAACTATATGCAAATATTTACAGAATTTGAAAATAAATATGTGCACTCAATATGTGAGATTTTTTTAAATATGTAAAATCTTCCATTATCTGTATTTCCATATCTTCCGTTTAAAAATGTGCTGTAATTACAAAATCGCCTAAACATTTCTTCTGGCTATTTTTTTTTCTTTGAGTTTTTATATATCCCCTTTATTGTGATGGCTGCGTCCCATTTATGTTAACCTCATAATGTGCATTCTCACTCACTCACTCACTCACTCACGTGGCTTCCTCGCTGCAGGGTAAAGAGGTGAGCCAGAAGATCGTGAAGCAGTTTTATGAAAACTGGATATCCCGTCAGAACACGCTTTCTTCCCAAGACGACCTGGATGACTACCTGCCTTCCCCCTCCTCCCCGCCTGACGTCCCCTCCTCACCCCACGCCTATGCTAAGCTGAAGAACCAAGCCTCCAAACTGTCCTGGGGCAGCAGCGTCTCCAGGTACTGGACACAGAGTCGCTCTTTCACATTTTCTTTCCTGTATATCTAAAATAAAGACCTGAATAAGATATTATCATTATCTCTCTGCTCCTCTTCCTCAGCTGTATGACGGACGAGACGCTGCTCGGCTCCCGGCAGCCGACCCAGGAGGAGCTGGACGACCCCCCCGCTGTGTCTCCTGCTGCTGACCAGCTCAGACGCAGGCTCCTGAGGACAGCCAACATCGACCTGACCACCTTTGAGACTGTTGAACTTTCACCAAGGTCAGGGAGAAGTCTTTACTTACTGATATGTATGCTTTTAATGTTTTTCTTAACTGGCCAGTCTGGCCTATCCTATATTTGCTTTTAGGGTGACTATTAAACATCCGTCCAGATTCTACAGATGAAAAATAGCCACTTTGTTTATTTACAGCAATGTTTATTAATGTGCAACCCTGTTAAATAAACTTTTAAACATATAAATAAATAAAGATTAAAAAAGTAATCAATATAATTGTCTACTACTTGCTGGAAAGTGTGCTTCACAGTTTAAGCACCTCTTTCTCGGTTTAAATTATTCATGCGAGTACATACATGTACTTGAGCTGCAACGATTAGACGGCAGAGGTCATTCACTTTTATTTAGCTCGGGACCCCGGTCAGCATAAAGAAAATACTTAGGTTCCTGATTTACATGTGTCCCCTTGATCATTTGACATAACAAGTATATCATTTACTGCAGTTTTTTAAAGGTATAGATTTGTTAGACTAAAATGTAATATATAATGTGTATGTATAATTTTAAATGTATTAATTGAATTATGAAACCTTGTGTTAAATTAAAGATAGCTTTTTACAGGCTTTTAAATATGGAGATTTCATCAATTTTCTCTGTTTAACATCGTATTCAACTAATATATTTGGGTTTTGGACTGGCAAAACAAGACATTTGAAGAAATGAAACGGTGTTTGACATTTTTTTTTTTTTATGACATTTTACGAACAAAATTATTCATTTAATTATCAAATTCAATCATATATGAAAAAATTAGTTGTTATGATAGGTGCAAAGATGCAAGAACGTTGTTTATAATAAATCTAGAATTCCTTAAAAGTCTTTCAAACCTGGCAGAAAACATTTCACTAAATAATGTCCCAGATTCTTGACCTTAAATGTCCCTGTGTTTCTCCTTGTCTCAAAAGTTGTGAAGATGGCGCCCCTAAAATAGAAGGGCACAAACAAGACGAGGAAGATGAGGAAGAAATGGAGGCTGAGACAAGACGTGAGCGAGAACAAGAAGAGATGGAGGAAGAGGAGGAAGAGGGACCACGAGAGGTGGACCATGAGGTGGAGGGAGAAGAGCTGAACGAGAAAACGTCTCTGAGAGAAGTATATGAATGCGCAGATTACCCAGAGTGCACCTCGCTGAGTTTAAGGGAGAGTGATGGAGAGAAGAGCATCAACCTCCTGGGATCCCCCCGACCTCTGAGTGAAACCAGGAACCTCACCGCCAGCGAGCTGCTGCTCAACAAGTCAGTACACACGAGAAAGCATGTTTAATCTTTGGTAGGAGAAACAAGTTGCTTTGTGGCATCACTAATGGCAGTATTATCATTTCTGTCTTTCCTTCCCTCCCCTCCTGGCTGTAGTATGTTTGAGAATGATGAGATCTCAGAGTCGGATAAGTTTTTCGTGACGTTGCCGCGGCCGCTGAAGCTGCTGTTCGCCCTCTACAACACCATGGTGTCCAAGTCAGAGATACTGTGCTACTTTGTCATCATCCTGAACCACATCGTGACGGCGTCCTTCCTCTCGCTCATCCTGCCCATCCTCATCTTCCTCTGGGCCATGCTGTCCGTGCCCCGGCCCACCAAGCGCTTCTGGATGACCGCCATCATCTACACCGAGGTACAGTAGGTTAATATTACACTCTGTTGTGTGCTGTGTTTGACATAATATTCAAATGTGAGGGGTCATCATTTGGTGGGATATTGTTTTTAGAACAAATTGACACCAGACACCAATACATGTATTATCAAAAGCCTTACGTTTTGTTGAATTAAACTTGATTATTCATCTTATCTGCATTTTATTTTAGTTTTAGTAAACATGAGACTGTGACTTCTTTCTTAGATTAAATGTACGCAAATATGTGTAAAGGTGCATGTTGACCCTCCCATACTTGGGTAGAAAGAGCTTAAGACATGGCTACAGAAAGAGCTGAGTAGAGTCTGATTAATTGTCACGTGCAGAAAACAGAAACTACATTTGTTCTTGGGAAAACATGATCTGATCGAATGTTTCTAGCTGATTCCTGATGCAGAACTTGTTTTCTGTTTCTCTCAGCTGACTGTTGTGGTGAAGTACTTCTTCCAGTTTGGTTTCTTTCCCTGGACCACCTCTGCATACCGAGGCATTAACGCAGAGCGGCCCTTCGCCCTGCCCAACATCATCGGGGTGGAGAAGAAAGACGGCTACGTCCTCTTCGACCTCATCCAGCTGCTCGCTCTGTTCTTCCACCGCTCCATTCTCAAGGTAATCATGATCTGCTCATTCAAATAAACCCACCTGCATGCTGCTGTATGTCCAGTAGGGGACCATCAGCATTGTTTTAGTTCAGCTAGTTTATCAGGTTAAAATAATTGTTGTGTCCATGACTGCGCAGTGCCACGGGCTGTGGGACAACAAAGAGGTGGAGATGCCAGATTTTTTCAAGAAGATGAAGAAGAAAGTGGACAGGAAGAAGATGACAGGAGGAGATAAGACGGGCAGCAGTGATAGATCTAAACGCCGGCTGAAGTTCCTCCCTATCCAGGCCTCCACCACCTCCCTGTTCTGCAGACGGAGGAAAGGCGACTCAGCAGAATCTGATGGTAAAATATTTAATAATAATAATAATTCATGGTATTTATTTTAGTGCTTTTGCAAGGGCTCAAATTGTTTACATTACATAAAACATATGTTAGACATGTAATACATTATAATAATACTGTGGACAATACCCACAGGAGCAATTCAGGGTGAACTAAACTTAAATCAAAATCTGACCAGTTTAAGAGAATCCACTGTAAAATGTTTCCTTTTTTTATTGTATTTTTTTCTATGGTCCCATGGTTAACAAAACCCTTTCTCTTCACAGTTAACCATTGGGTTTTGTAAATGTTATGTATAAACAACAGCAGATACTGTTTGTGTAATTGTATCTGCTGTCACATCATTATTGCCTAAAAGGAAATTCAAATGAGTCCGTGATACTGAATAGCAGCTTACATTTAGTGACCTACTCTCCTTGTCTACTAGGCATTTATATTAATTCAATAATCTTCCTACAGGGAGTTATATATCCGATAGTGCTGTGTAGTGAGTTTCTATTTTATAGTGACCGTATTGTTTCCATATAGTGCATTTAGTTTTCTATATTTTTTGATTTAGGACTCTCTATATTTTTGGCACGCAGTAGCCATGCTGTAATATTTATATATTCATTAATTTACCTACGGTACTTAATAATGCATATGTGTATCGCTTTATTTAAAAGAACCCTGTGCATGTAAAACTTACATTACATTACATGTCATTTGTTAGACGCTTTTATCCAAAGCGACTTACATTCAGTACTGTGGACAATCCCCACAGGAGCAATTTGGGGTGAAGTGTCTTGCCCAGGGACACAACGACATGCTGACTGCTACCTCCTGATTAGTGAAGTCCAGCACACTACCCACTGAGCCATAGCCTCCCACTAACAATACTACAATGTTAAAAATAATACTCCATTAGCAGTTTAAACTTTTTAAGTAAACTCATGCAAGGATCTTATATCTAGTATTTAGTATAAACCAAATTAAGTATTCTGTAAGCACATTGTGATTTGGAAGGCAGGTTTTACTCATCTGGTTGCAGGGATTAAAACATAGAGATTTCTAAAAACATTTTTTTACCTCACCTTCCATGACTTACATTTCTTTCTTTCTCTTTTCTTTTTCACTGGAGAGGGGAAGCCGAAGAAGCAGCGGAGCATGAAGAAGAGAGGACAGCGAAACAAGATTCCTCTGACCAGGAAGCAGAGGATCCGACAGCAGATCAAAGAGAGGATGCTGCAGGCCAAAGCTGCCATCATAGAAGTGTAACCACCTCGTGACATTTTAGATATGTCACCATTTCTTTTAACAGCTAGCATATCCATTTTACAGCTTAGAAAAGTGTGTTGTAACATTGCATATGTTTCATCCACAGCGCCCTTCACATTTACTTACCCATAAGACAGTTCTTCTATGACATCATCCACCCAGACTACAGTCCTGTGTGTGACGTCTACGCTCTCATGTTCCTCATCGATGTAGTCAACTTCATCGTCACGATATATGGATACTCGGCTTTTGGAGTAAGAGTCTTCCTCAGTACACACACTTAAAGTGCCTGTTATAGTATGACACTAACACACTGATCTTGGTCTCTGTAGAAATATTCTTCAGCGGCCGACATCTCAGAGTCTCTGTCGGAGGACCAGGTGCCAGAGGCCTTCCTGGTCATGCTGCTCATGCAGTTCGGCACCATGATAGTGGACCGGGCCCTCTACCTGAAGAAGTCCCTGCTGGGAAAGTGTGTTTTCCAGGTGGTGCTGGTGTTCGGCATACACTTCTGGATGTTCTTCATCCTCCCGGGCGTCACTGAGAGGTCATTCTGCTCATGTTCATGCTCATGTTCTAAAAACATTCTGAGAATGTTACCATTCACTGTTCTAGGAATGTTTTCAGCGGGAAGTTTTAGTTTGGTTCCCAGAATGTTCTTCTGAAAGGTAGGATACGTTCTCTAAAAACATTCTAGGTAGGGAGAGAGACACACAGTAGAAACAAACACATACAGGGGCTTCAGGGACGGGCAGTGACAGTCAGTCCGTTTTTCTATATGTCTGTTGGTCTCAAATCTAAAGGGTGCAATAACGATTTGTATCCACTATGCATAAACAGCGGACACTGTTTATACGCAGCCCTCACAAACCACACACGGCCAGATAGCTTATCTAACAGTTAGAACCTACATATGAGACCCAACCTTCATAGTCAGAAAAAGTGGGATTATTTTCTGATATTTTACACATTTGATATTATGAATAATGTGGGCCTACATACCTTAGTGTGATTATAAGTGCATCTGGGTGAATATTGGCATGCAAATTCGTTTTTATACGTCCTATTCATTGGCTCAATGCACTCCATTATGCAAATGCACCAACTCGGCTGCCGGAGGAGAGTACTACCAACGTTAATCGCCGATACTAAAAGTGGCTTTTGTCATGATACAAATAAACCTAATTGGTTTTCTAAGTGTTATTCTATCAATATGACAATAGAGACATGTGCATAAACAACGAAAACATTTTAAGAATAGTAGGGCATAATGATCGAACAATGTTATCAAAAACATCTTAAGAAGGTTATCACCAAAAATGTAAGAATGTTTTTAGAGAACGTTATCCTACCTTTCAGAAGAACATTCTAGGAACCAAAATAAAACGTCCCACTGAAAACATTCCTAGAACAATGAATGTTTTTATAACCAAAAATGTCTATCTGGGAACTCACACATGCCATCGCAAACATGCAATATCCGCTTACAGCTTATCATGAATTACGTGCTTGTTTGTTTTTTCAAAAGGACAATGTGGTGACATCAGATTTTTTAAAACATCCTTTTCAAACAAATGCAACAACTTGTGTTTTATGACAACTTCTGCTCAATTCTGTTTGTTGTAAAGCACTTTGGCACAAACCTGGTTTGTTTTTTAAAGCGCTCTACAAATAAATCTGACGTTGACGATGACCGTGTTAATATTTCACATCACAGGAATGTTTTAGAAAAAAAGAATAACCTCCTGAAAACCTATAAAAAAAAAACGTTCTGTCATCTCAGGCCTCAATAAGCTCCTGAAAACATTTTCTGAATGTTGCTTTGAAAATGTTCTTCTTTGGTTATCATGTAACATTGAGGGAATGTTTTATAAAGAACATCTTTAATGTGTTTCCCAACAACGTCCACAACACATCCTTAGAATGTTGCAGGCAAAACGTTCCACCTTTGTTAACATATTACATTAAAGGAACGTTTTATAAAAACACTTTCTGTCATCTCAGGCCTCAATAACATCCTCAAAACGTCCTCTGAATGTTGCAGTTAAAACGTTATGTCTTAGTTAACCTTAAACCTTATAGGAACATTATTTAAAATGATAAACATCCTAAAAAGGTTCTTTGAACATCAGATTAAAACGTTTCTTTAAAACATTATTAGAACCTGTATGTAACGTTAGCCAAAGTTGTGAGAACGTTCCCTGCTAGCTGGGATACACAACTACAAATAAATGGTGTTTTAATTGCTTTGATTATAAGATAAAACAGGATTGTGACCAAATTAAACAGACAGTGTTTTTTTTGAAAGTACACAAGTTTTTTTTGAAAGTACACATTCACTGTGTTTTTCTTTCAGTATCTCATCATGTCTTTTTCGCCCCACAGGAGGTTCAACAGGAACTCTATTGCTCAGCTCTGGTACTTTGTGAAGTGTATCTACTTCGGCCTGTCTGCCTACCAGATCAAATGTGGCTACCCAAACCAGATCCTGGGCAACTTCCTCACCAAAAACTACAACTACCTGAACCTCTTCCTCTTCCAGGGGTAAGAAAACGGTTACTGACGTAACTCTGTTACGCATGCAGTTATTGTATTGAATGAGACACAGTTTTAAAACTTTAAAGACTCTTGATAGAGTCTTCAGAGTGTATTTGAATTGTTCTCATTTAATCTTAAGGATAGTTTTTATGGTGAATTTGACCAAATAAACTGAATAAAATCCTTAATTTTCCTTAAAAAACCTTTACTCGGGTCCTGCTCCAGGTTCCGTTTGGTTCCCTTCCTGACAGAGCTGAGGGCCGTGATGGACTGGGTCTGGACCGACACCACTCTGTCCCTCTCCAGCTGGATCTGTGTTGAAGACATCTATGCAAACATTTTCATCCTCAAGTGCTGGAGGGAGTCCGAGAAAGTAATTGATAGTGCACTACTCGCTGCACCTCTCACTTTTAAAGCTTTAAAATTACAATATGATTTTACAATATGAATTTCTGCAGGGCTTGTTGCCTTATTTAACTCCTGTACTCTTGTTTTCAGACAGAAACTATCATCCATATTCTAATTTAAAATATAATTGTAGTGTTATCCTTTATCCTTTATGTAAAAATGCTGTATAAAAACGTCTAAGATGACAGGAAGTAACTAATATTAATATGTTTTATGACTGAATTCTTCCAGAAATACCCCCACACTCCGGGTCAGAAGAAGAAGAAGGTGGTGAAATACGGGATGGGAGGATTCATCATCTTCGCTCTCATCAGCATCATCTGGTTCCCGCTCCTCTTCATGTCGCTGGTCCAGTCGGCAGCCGGAGTGAACAACCCCCCGGTGGAGGTCTCCATCCAGCTCAGCATCGCAGGATACGAGGTCAGCATGGAGACGAGGACACCGAACTGTGTGCTAAATTCTCAACTTTTAGAGTTCTTGTACTTATATTCTAAAACATTGAACCTAGCTGGCTGCTTATGTTCAGCTAGGGATTCTTTCTAAACAGCTAAGTTGCTTTTAGCTTTAAGGACTACAGCAAAATAATGCAAGTGTGGTGTCTTGTGAGTGAAAGTCAAACACTTGAGTCTACAGCAATGAATGTGGTGTACACGTCTTTACTGTTTTGAGCTTAATGCTAACAAGTAAAAATGCCGATGTTCAGCAAGTGTAACATGGTCTCTGTCCAATTACACTCTCATGGTGGCACTAGAAAGAAAGTCAGAGGATCACCAAATATAGTAAGGTACATCCTCCTCTGTGAACCATGAATTTCTGCACAAAACTGCATTGGCAATCCATCATTTGTCAAGATATGGTTCATACCAGCAATCACGTTTTTTACTTGTCCTCTATCTGTGCGGGTCAGGGGACAGTACTTGTCCATCTCCAGTGTGAGTGTATGTTTTACTCTGTGTGTCTGATTGTGTTTCCACAGCCTCTGTTCACCATGACCGCCCAGGAGCAGAACTTGGTTCCGTACACAGAAGCTGGATTCAACCGACTCACCAAAGTCTACGCAACCCATCCAGTAAGATTTAACTTACTTTAAAACACCAGAAAAATAAATGTTAAAATTGTACACTCTTATGGTATCTTTTCTTTAAATATGGGTTTTTAATTATTTTTTAATGAGACAGATTGTGTTGCCACAGGAGGCAGACGTGTTTTCAAAATAAGTAATTCATATTTGAAGGTCAGGAGTAGGCACTGCTGTATGCAGAGACATACACAAGTAACAGTTTGGCTCCCCCTGGTGGATAAATGGTTAAGTAGCATAAGCAACACCTTTATTGTAAAGCATCTTTCAACAACAAGGCATTTTTCACATTCATTCACAACAGAATAGTCCGTGCATTATTTTAATGTATCCAGGCAGGATTTTATGTAGGATATGAAGACAGTAACGTCAGGGTTTTTATTTCACAAATTTGCTGCAATGAATATGGTATTTTGCTAATAATAATCAGATTAATAACATACATTTTCTTTACATGCATTCTGTCATCTAAAGTTTCTAAACAACTACAAGTAATCAAGTTTAGGTTGAGTTTCTAATTTTCATTTAAAATTATTATTATAGAACTGTTGTTAAAATAATATCACTCTTTCCAGTCGGCGATGCAGTTCATAATGAACTACGGTGCAGACGACATCATCGTGGCTAAGATCAAGAGCGATGCCAGTCTGCTGTGGAGCATCAGCCCGGCCAGTCGAGCCGCCATGATACAGGAGCTCAGCAACTCCACTCACGTATACATGACCTTACGCTGGTCGCTGCTCAGGTCAGTGTGTGTGTGTGTGTGTGTTCGTGCACGCGTGTTTGTGCACGCGTGCGTGTGCAGATCCAGTGGGCTTGTATATCTCGTTGTAGGTTTTAATGATTATACAAATCATTGTATAAAATGTGAACATTAACTGGTTTGAAATGAATTCCTAAGTATGGATATTTAGTAAATACATTTTTCTAAAATGTAAAGCTCAATTATATTTATTACTTCCTGTGTTTTCTGGAATTTGGTCAGTTTGTGAACCCTTTATTGTTTTACATATCAGAATAGGAAGTACTTTGAGTACTCAAGCATCTGGAATTCGAACAGATGCACATTGCAGCGTGTAAACTTTGGCCCTTAACGCTGCTCTCCTTCCTTCAGGAACACGTCCATCTCAATGGTTGTAGAGACGGTGGGAGAACACACTGTGAAGTTTGAGGACCAAGCTTTGAGAGAAGGGATCATCCACATGCTCCAAGGCAACAGCAGCAGCAAACCTGTGTGAGTAGCACACACACACTTTACATACTATAAATGATAATGTGAGAAATTAAATCAAACAATCATGCTGTTAATCGTTCTAACTAAGATTTACTCTGAATAGACTTGTTGTTGAAATGGAGGGGTGCAGAATGTGTCCTAAAAAGTGTTAAACGTGTTTTTCTGTCCCGTAGGCTCATTCATTCTCTGCTGCCGAAGTTCATCAGAGGTAACAGAGGAGCCGAGTCCAAAATGGCAAAAAGCATGAAAGTGGGTAAGTTGCAGCTTATTGTGCACAGACCATCCTGCAGGTGTTTTGGGGGAAACTATTCCTTTTACATTTATTATTTTATTTTGTATCGGTATTGCTAAAAGCATATAGCATTGTGCACAATTAAAACAAAAATATTAGCGGTACATTTGAGACCCATTTTACAGCCTGGCTCTTCCTACATTATTTTCTATTTATACATTAGCTTTAATTATTTACAAATGAACATGGGACGCTTCCACCTTGGAAATTACAAAAATACAAATAAAGTGTGTGCTGTTAGATACAATTATATAAATCAAGTCCGCTTGAGTCTGATCCTATAGACTATTTTTGTTTTACTTTACTTGGAGGTAAAATTACCTTTCCATATTATATATATATTTAATGTGTTATTTTATCCATATAGTGGTGGATGGCTCTGATTTTAACCACCTCATTGTGACAGCCTATTTTATATGTATCCTTTATCAATGATTACTGCATTAAACTTATAATATCCAAAGGCATCCATCTTAGATAAAGGCGAGCTCATTTGATCAAAGCTTGTTGAAAACATACAGTTTAATTAATCCGTCTCGTGTTTTCCCTTCAGGGTACTCGGAGCGCCCGGAGGTGCAGGCGCTGTCCTTCTTCAGACCCATGTCAGTGAAGCTGGAGCAGGTGGACTCAGGCTCAGAGAAAGGGGCTGACCAGTGGTGGGTGGTGGAGGAATGCTCCCCCGTCGTCGCATACTCCCACCACAAGTGCCACAGCATAGAGATCGTGGTGATCAGCGATAAAGTCAGCCCCTCCAGTCTGGGCTTTCTGGCCGGACACGGGTACGTCACCTGCTTTTTTTTTTTTTTTAAACTTAGTTTTTATTTCAGATTTCATTAAATACACTTTGATCAGGAGGTTAAAGCATCACCTGCATTTTGACAGTAAAACGTTACTCATAACTTATGTACTTAATCCATTGTATGTGTATATATTTGAATTATTCCTGCATTTCCTTTGGTTGCTTTATTTATTATGTCTCAAGTATAATTGTGTGTTGTTTTGTTGGGGAAGTCTGGTTCTTTAGATATTCTTTGCCAACAACTACGCTGTAGCTGTAGCATGTGAAAGCCTTTGAATCATTTACAATAAAGCAAAAGGTACAGACGCTCCTATCCCAACAAGATGCCTACATTACAAGTAGATTAGACTACTGTTATGCACCCTTTGTTTTGTTCCCATAACATATATTGATAGATTGCCTTAAATTAAAGCTGCCAGGCTTTAAACGGGAACAAGAAATAGGGAGTATGTCAGCACAGTTTACCTGCACTGGCTCCCATTGTGTTATTATTGATTTTAAAGTTAATTTTACTTTAAGCTTCTAAAGGTTCGTGACTAGCCTACATCCTTAGTCTATTTATAATGCTTCACAGACCCTTAGATCTTCAGCTGCTACCTGTTTTTATGTATTATCTTTTCTTTGCTTTCTTATAAGAGTTTGAACTACACCACTACAAAAGAGATGCTGTAAAAATAAAGTGTATTATTCTTTTTATAATAAAACTTTTGTTGGTTAGATTGGCTGTTGTGGTTTCACAGTGGCATCTCTCACATAAACATATTGAACATGTCCTGTGTCTCTGCCCCCCCTCCCTCACAGCATCGTGGGTCTGTACATGTCGGTGGTGCTGGTCGTTGGAAAGTTTGTCAGGGAGTTCTTCAACGGGATCTCCAGGTCCATCATGTTTGAGGAGCTGCCGTATGTGGACCGGGTCCTGAAGCTCTGCACGGACATCTTCGTTGTCCGGGAGACGGGAGAGATGGAGCTGGAGGAGACGCTGTTTGAGAAACTCATCTTCCTCTACCGATCGCCGGAAACCATGATCAAGATGACCAGAGAAAAGAAAGACAGCTAGGGTCACGCCTGCACACCCATCACTCAAAATGGATGTATTAGAGCAAATAACCGTTGGTGCAGTAATGTCCTTTATTTGTATTAAAATGAGCAGCAGGTGGAACCTGTGATAAATGATCCAGTTGTAATCAATCTGCTGAATATCTGAGCGAGATTGTGACCTTTGGGTAAAAAGAAAGCAGAGCATCTTTTAAAGCGCTTCTATAAAAAAAAAATGATCACATGGTTTTCATACCTTTACATGTGATCAGTTTCATTCATTTAAATAATTGAAACAATGATCTGTTAACCAACACTACAATTCCTAGCAAAAAGCTAAAGGAGTAATTTTCTATCATACAGAAACTCAACTGACATGTTTCAGAATACTTTTAAAGTCACTAAACTATAACACCAATTACATTTGGTTACAGTAAAACAATGAAAGCGTGTGCCAGTGTTTTTGCATTTGTTGTTTTACTTCCAGCCCACATGGCAATGCATTCATTTCTGATGATTTTGGATTCAAGTTTTTACTAGAACAGTATTCCCCAACTCAGATTCTGGCAGGATCATCACAAGCTCAACATACCATTGATGAACTCATGGTTAACACACACACCTCTGTAAATAGCATGTAAACTACTGCACTGATTTATTTATACCAAAATAAAAATTCTTATAGACAAATGTTCCAGTGTCTCTTTGTGCAGTTCTGGAAGTGCAAGAATACAAGGGAACAAAATGTATTTCCGATATTCATCTTTAATAAAATTTAAATTACAAATGAAAGAGGAATTTCATCCACGTCATCTTGATGTCATCCATCTTTCTTCTCTGCGGTGTGCAGGACAGGACAATAAAGGACCTCACAACTCATGGGGAAACTATCAACATCAGATTCTCAAATCCTGGAGGGAAACAGAGAAAGTACAGAAACATTACTGAAAAGATGTCCTCATGAAAATTATTTTGCATCCCAGACAGAACAAAGGCATCATTCATATCAGTGACTGAAGGTTTGGAGTTGATCTACTTGCAAAGTAGGGGTGCAAAGACGGGTTGAGAGCAATAATGTCTGGCGGACACTTCCATGGGTGTAACACCATTAAATGTAAGGTAGGTTGGGTATCACTTAAGATGTTATTATAAAGGTTTATGCACTATTGATTTTTAAATAATTCGAAAATGTTAAGTACACTGAAACAATGACCATGTCTTGGTAAAGACTTAAGCATGAGATAAGACTGTTATAGGTTTTATTCAAACAGTCCAATTAATAGTTCATTTGAGGTTGTGATTTTGCATAAATAAACATATGCCTGTTTCCAAAACAATGCATCCAGAAAATATGTTTTAGGTTGAAATACTCATAGCATATAAATACATTGGGTACAGTAATTATGAGCAGCAATATTATTCCAATATCAATACAGACTTATGAAAATGTCCTGTTGGTTTTCCGAGAGCGCAAGCCAGTAGTTTGTAATACAAATGTTCAATACTCTAAACGGCTGGTGACAAATAAACTAGCATAATATCTATTCTGAAATTCATTTAAATCAAACTTATTTCCATATCCCTACATTGATTGTTTCTTGCCTATTTACTGATGTTTAGTTCAATTCAGTCCAGTACGTTTATATGTGTTTAATAAGCTTTATGCGTTATGTAGTTCGTGAGACTTTGTTCAGATCTATACGCGTTGTATATACTATTTGCTTAGTGTCTCGGACCCCTACGTTTCATATAGCTTTTAAGGGAGTCCCACTCCCATTTCACATATCTCCATTGTATCAGATTGTATTAATCCGTATACACCTCTCTGAAAGGGGCTATTAAGCAAATAAGAAAGGACACCGTCACTACTGTACTGCATAGGATATAGTAGCTTCTAATTCTCGTAAATTGGAATGGTGGATTGCTATAAGCTAAATGCTATACATACTTCCTCCACACAAGTAACCTGGGTCAACATTCAATGTCACAGGCAGCTGCCTCTCCTTCAAACATTTAGAGGCCATGGTGCATGTATTTGCTGTCATCTCTGTTGTCGTGTACTTATTGTTTAATGCACTTACATTATGCTACTTTAGCTTTGTAGACTTTGACGTTGGACTCCGCAGCCTTCAGCGCCTCGGCTTTGAGCTGAGGCTTCATCGCAGCCCGCAGCGCGGTGGCGCAGATAGACGAGAAGCGGATGTAGCTGCAGAGAGAGGACACATTTGTTAGCCGCATGCTAAAGGCAGCAGTGTGCTGACCTCCAAAAAGCACAACTGCTTCTTAAAAAACAAGTAATGTATCCTATGCATTATACGATGCAGAGTCATATTTCGGAGGGTTATCGGCTAACGTAAGCGTCCTAAGTTAAACATATGGGATTTAAAGCTAGCTAAAGCTACTATCGTATGTTAGCTATGTTGCCTGTTCAGTTATATAATAGACAGAATAGCTACAGGGACTTTTTAAAGTACCACGTTATCAAGCCAAAACCTTAAATAGAATAACGTGGTTAACACTTAGCACAAAGCGAAATCTGCAAATGTATATTATATATATTTTTTTACCTGAGGCCTGCCTGTCTCCAGTATGCGACCATCTTGCCTGTGTTATACCTTCAAGGACAGTTAGGATCTGTGCGTGATGACGTAATGTATCTACGTTGTTTATCCCCAGCTCTGTCCCCACCCAATTAGAACCGTGCCTGACCACGACTGACAGCTTAGACCTTGGCTTGTCCTGCCCCCAGTAATTGTTTAGTATACAAGTTTGTTTTATGATTGTTAATTTTCAATATGATCCTGACCTATAGTAAGCTCTACAAGTCGCATTTACACATATTTAAATATATATACATATGTACATGTATATTTATAAAGAAGAATGTGTTCAAATAAGTCACAAGTGGATCCAACGGTATTGAATATATAACCTACTGCTGGAATCGAAAAGTAAAAATATAGCACTGTAGCCTAAACCTACCGTGCATATAAAAAACAGTATAACACATTTTATATGTAGTAGTCCCCCGGTAGGTAGCCATGTTTATAATGCATTAGTGCAGATAAAGGTGCAAGCAGCTGGTATGTTAAACACTCAAGAGTCTATCAGTTGAGAAGGCCTGATTTGTTATTGTGTTTTTTATCCTGACCCTGAGACTGTTATACAGTCTATGTAGCTTGTTGTGTAGAGTGCAGCTCTTGTCCCGGCCTGCAGGGAAGGGTCGTCAGGGTCGTGCATTAAAGGTTTCTCCTTCAGCTCCTCCTTCCTTCCTCACCTCGGTCACGCTGTCATTAAGCGACCCGGCTCCCGAGCCTTGACGGAAAAGCCTAACAAAATGAAGATCTGGTCGTCAGAGCACACTTTCAAGTGAGTAGTTTTGTGTCTGTAGTTGTGTATTATAATCATGTGTGTCTTTAGCAACTGGTTTCCTCTTTTATAATAACGTTTTGTGTGGCTTCACCGGGCAGCTGCTAGCCTCTTAGCTGCTAAGGTTGTACATAAGTTGGGTAACTTAAACTCCAAATACCTGCCGTGAAATACCTAACTGTTTGTCGTTTTTTATAAATAAATGTAACCTTCATTCGCCATTTTGTTTCACATTTCCTCAACACATATCTCGGTGGTGTGTGTGCACTAGAGGTAAACCGCTTTAGCAGAGTTAACTAGTTTAGCTTCTTTTGTTAGCCTTGAAGCTAACGCTGGCTATCAGATGCTGTAACGGTAGTTGCTCAGCCGTGTGCGTCATAATAAATGTTATTAAAATGTTTCAGGCTCAAGTTACTTTGATGGTGAAATAATTCTTGTGGTTTTCTTGAGTTTCGTATTAATCACAAGGAAGTTATCTGCCGCTGAGTATGATATTATGTACCGCTGTTATACAGTTACATAACGGGATAGGCTGCTGTCGACTAGTCAGTCTGCGGTGAAAATACAACATAGTCTATTGTTTATATCTCTGCTCTTCAGACAGATGGCGTTCAGTGTGTAACAATAGTCGAAACGCTTCTGTCCATTATAAGAAGTTTCCAGCGAAATCCATGTTGATGATGCTGTGGTAGGGGGCGTTCCTCCCCCTGTCTGCTCAGTCTTTGGTTATTCCTCCATTTTGATTGTGATTATGTTCACTCTTTGTAAATACATCTCTGCAGTTGTTCATGTTGTTACTGCTTTTTGTACGTATATTTACTAAGACTTATTCAGGATTATTTTTACAGTGGATTTGCAAAAGGCTGAACAAATGGGAGCAGCTTTGCTTTAACGGTCCCCTATTATACGGGTTTTCATCAATAGATTATAGGTCTCAGATATATACAAAACATGTCTCTGAAGTGTTTGGCTCCAAATACCAAACAGATCATTGCAGCATCCCATAATCCCCTCTGTTTCAGCCCTGTTTCAAAAGTGCTGATTCTCTGTCTGTTACTTTAGATAAAATAAGGAGCCACTCCCCCACGCCCCTCTGAGAGATATTTGGTTAAAAAGAACACAATGGTGCTCTAGGAGGAGATTCAGGTGATAAGGTGTGGGGGGGGGGGGGGGGTGTGTTACCTTGGTTGCTGATTGGCTAATGGTTACACAAGCCAAAACAATCGTTATGACATCATAAAGTGGCCAAAATCTGATCAGCTCATTTTCAGACAGGTTTTTATAGAAATGGATCAGGACAAAAAGAGTGAATCTTTTTTTCCTGAAACGTTCAGAGTCTCTTTACACAGAGGGGACACATGTTTATGTATAAATGACATGAACAAGTGGATTTAGCATTATAGGTCCCCTTTTAAGCTTAGATGATCGTCAAAGTTTTTTTTTGTTGCCCATCATACTAAGTGGTGAAAATGGGCTGATTGACATCATCAATAAATCTGATTTCCAACATGTTGTCGGATACAGTAGCTTTGCAGTTTGTGGTATTGGTAAGTCCATATGTCACTGTATTACAATGCAAGTATTCCCTAGGGACTTTCGGTTTCTAAATGTAATCTTGATTTGAACAGCCACCCATGGGAGACGGTGACCAAGGCGGCGATGCAGAAGTATCCCAACCCCATGAACCCCGGTGTGTTCGGTGTAGATGTCCTGGACAGAAGTGTGGACACAGAGGGACGGTTGCACAGCCACCGACTGCTCAGCACAGAGTGGGGCCTCCCCAGCATGGCCAAGACTGTAAGTTAGATCATGAGAGCACTAGAGCGGCAGGGAAGCTTTATTTTTGATTGATAACACACTTTTTTTTATTTCAGTGTTTATATTTGTGACGTCCTCAATTTTCCGCATTATGTAAATCCTCTGCCCAGATTTCATTGCTCGAGCTGTCCCTCTCAAGCAATATTTAAAATGCCCACGAAGAGGAAATACATTAATTGTTGAGGAAATATTTTCCTAAGCCCATAACTTTGACCCAGTTTATCACTTTCTACTCCCCTCGCTGAGCACAGGCCTGCGACCTTGGGAAGCTGCGCTCTCTCTCTCAGAGTAGTTTTTTCTCCTTATTCCTGCCGGTTGGGGTCAGCTGATAGAGGTGTTATAGTGATTTGTTTGTTATGTCTTGTCATGCAGAATGTAGATTATTCTCTCAGAGCTAGCTAAATAGATGGGACTAGTGGAGAGATCTTCAGAATTCCTTAGGCGGGAGCTGTGTCACTTTGTGTCTACAGCAACTGTCTTTGTCAATTCTCTGTCCGTAACTTCAAATACATCTTCAGTGTTTGCCATCAAGTTCCAGCTCTCCCGTGTCTAATTGTGTTTTGACTCCTTGCTCCAGAAGTTTCCATTTTATTCATGATTATTATTGTTGTATTATTGATCTGAGATATTCAGACTGTTGGACACATTTAATTAGAATTATCCTCGCATTCCTGGTGTTAGCAGAAATTGGTTCCTGACTCATCTCGAACAATATAATGTCAGGATTTGAACTAATCCTGAGCTGTGTCCTTTTCCTGCAGATGTTCGGGGTAACAAGGTCATGCACTTATGTTGAGGAACATTCTGTGGTGGACCCCAAAGAAAAGAGCTTTGAGTTGAAATCTACAAATGTAAGTAGATCTGACATGGATCATTGTTATTACTTTATACATAACACTTGTGGCATTAGTGCCAATATTTAGTAGGAGAGAAAACGAATACATTGACTTTTCTGTGCAATTGATAACACCAAGTTATACGTGGACTTCAAGTGTTGTTTCTAGTGTTACTTTTTATATCTGGAAAGACAGCATTTATCTGTTTTTGTAAAACTTTTCACTGATTAAACTCTTAATCCTTTGCGCCTGATTATTATTAATTGTATTAACATACAATCCACAGTTCGTAAGACTTATTACTTCCTATTTGTTGAAGATTGTTTTAGGTCATGTTAGGAGGGACCTTTTAGACCAGGGGTGGGGAACCTTTTTCCTCTCAAGGGCCATTTCAATTTTTACAATATCCTCAGAGGGCCGTACAAATGATTGACCTCTACTTAAAAAACTAAAATCACAGCCCGTTCATTTCATTCTGTGCAAAGAAAAAGCAACATCTTAATCCAGATATCTCACCATGACTCGCGTATGCATGCACGGTGTGGCGTGACCACCAAAACAGAGAGATATGGACACAACATGTGTGCAAATGTATTTAGTGTCCCATGATTTAAGTGGGGGGGGGACCTAACCTCCTCTAGGGGGGTCCGGGGGGCATATTTTGTTTTAAATGTTGAAGTTAAAAGCATCAATCTGGTGCACTTTGAGAGCAACATTAGGAGATCTATGGAAACATCTCTCAACACCCATATAAAACGGAACTGGAAGCAGATTTATTTTTCTTTATGGATATTTTACAAATCACTCCCCTTTTAAACTGTATTCTTGTTTATTAATAACAACTTTTTTTTACCATCATATAGTATTTTATACCTGTTTACTTTATTCTCTTATTTTTGTATAACTATAATGATCATATAAAGATGTGCCTTTACCTCACTGGTTGTAGAAAAAGCTTCTTATATTCGTTAGCATAGCTAGCTAACCAGATGCTAATAACAACAACGTTATTGACTGTATGATCAGAATGACAGATGAACAGATCGCCACTGGGCTTTCAACTAAAGACACAGACACGCAAAAACTGCGGCATGTGTACGGCTCCTTATCGGTACTGCAATTTTTGAAGTGCTGGAGCTGCGTTCTGGTGCTCTCCATCAGAACTGCACCCCTGTCAGTCGAGACATATACCACGTGATGACACGTTAGGCTGTGTTGTGTTCAAGGACCCTGACCTTGGCCAGGAAAAACAGGCACTCGCTTGTTTAATTCTTTTGCGGTCTAGATTTCTTACATTTTTTTCTTTTTTGCGTGTGTTTATAAATTACCTCGAGGGCCGTACCAAATTGTCTCGCGTGCCGTATACGGCCCGGAGGCCGGAGGTTCCCCACCCCTGTTTTAGACGTTTGTATATTTAGATATCCATTTACTTACAATGATGTTTGGAATGCGTTTGCCATGTTATGTGTTTCTTACACCTAGACATGATATGCTCTTTTTTTGCAACCTCACCACAAATCCAACATGGTGTTAAATAAAGCTGTGTGATTGTCTTTGTAAAGGTCTAACAGTGGAAACATTACATGTCAAACACAGGTGTAAATACATTACATGTATAATTGCTCCAAACCAGCTATCGTTAGTGTTATCAGTTACACCTGTGTCCTTACCGTGGTCACTGTGAGCGGTCCCTTTACAGCTAGCAGATCAGTGTGCGGGGCTTTATGAAAAATGATGAATATAGTTTATTTTGAGTGCAAGAGACAAAGACTAATGCTTGCTTTATTTTGTCCATTCAGATCTCCTTCACTAACCTTGTATCTGTGGATGAGAAGTTGACATACAAGCCGCATCCAGAGGACCCCGAAAAGTAAGTGACTTTTTAATTGATTATTATTATTGGTAATGAATAAATGGTTTTGGCCTACGGTCTGAATATTTTTATAAGTTTAATTACTAAGAATAATGAATGGCTTTTGTTGGCAAAAATGTCATGTATTTTTTAAAAGAATATTAAAAAGGCTTCTTCTGAAAATACAACAGCTTTAACATTGTGTTGACTGTTGTGTTCAGGACAGTGCTGACACAGGAGGCTTTAATCACTGTGAAAGGTGTCAGTCTGAGCAGCTACCTCGAGGGTCTCATGGCCAAGACCATCTCTGTCAACGCCGGCAAGGTGAAGCCAACTACTTAAATCTCCTTATCATCATATATATTTTCAGAACAATTTGCCTTTCTGCCGCTACACATTATGTTTCTAACTCTGTGTGTCTGTCTCAGGGTCGGGAAGCCATGGAGTGGGTCATCAGGCGATTAAACACAGAAATCGAGGAGTTGGCGGCGACTGCTCGTGGTTCTATACGTGCTCCAATGGCAGCTGCTGTCACAGACAAATGATCGCAGCCCCCGCAGCTTTCCCCCCCGCCATCATGAACCGGTGGACCTCTCGGACAGTTACTCTCTCCTAACCTGCCAACACAGCCTGATAACCACAGCCTCACCCATTGGCCCTACGTGTGTGTATGTGTGTGTGTGTGTGTGTGCGGTCTTCCCTCCTCAGCAGTCTGCGTTGGCGAGTTAGATTCTCGCTGCTTTGGGCAATGATGGGGAGAGTTGAGCTGATGACAGTTAAAAAAAGAAACGGGGTTGAGTTGGACTGCACTTGAAGCTCATAGGAATTATTCTTGTAATGTTAAAGCTCTTTAAAAATCACACTGTGCCTCCATGTCATCTCATCAATTTCTCTTCTGTCTTCCTCCCCTTCTTCTTCTCTCTCTCTCTCTTTTTATTGTTTCCTTATCCTTGCTAGCAGGTTGAGTACTTGTAACCGCTGACATGAAGTCATTTGTCTAGCTCTTCTGGATGGCTTAGCTTGCTTTGTACAGCAGAACAGACTAAAATATCTCGGTAACAAGAAGCCACCAAAGTAAAACAGTCTAACAAAAAAGTTAAAAGTAACACAGCTTTTTTTGCCCCATCTGGACGTTGTCACAGATGTATTTGAGTCGATGCAGAGCTGTTGTCGGACAGCCAGATCTGCATTTAGGTTACGTGCCCAGTTTATGGGTGTACTTGCATGGTGCTGTATTATAGGTTTATTTGTCAAACTGTCAAAGCCGTTTAAAGGAAATGAGTGTTCATTTCGATGCAGATCTGTTAGAGCTGTCAGCATGGTGGACTGGTCCTCAGATGTTCTGCTCTTGTTCTTGCTAAAGGTCTCTACATTTCTTAAAGTCTCTTCTGCCTTTGTTAGTATTTTCTCTTACACTGATGATGTGTTGTATAGTTGTGTGTTACAGTATACATATTTGAGTACTTGAATGTCTAACTTATTTTCAGCATGTGTACTTAAATACACTTAAGAAGCGGCAAGTACTGAGCTGTAAAAAAAAATGGAGTGTATGGGCGCTTATCAAAATGACCGCAGTGTGTTTAATGTTTGCGAACGTTCAGAAGGAGGGTTACGTTCAGGATCACTGAGTGTGCCAACATAATATGTGCAGATTCCAATTACTCTACCCATTTAATACCCCAATTCACTTTAACTGTGAACAAACCCACTCTGTATGCTGCGTCCATTCATTTCATACCATCTATAGATACTGTTATTTATAGTATTAGTGAACATTGACAAAAGCTGTTGACTTGATATTAAAAGCTTGTCGTATTTGTATGCACTTCCTCTCTTTACCCCATAGCAGACTCTCAGGTGCTACAGAGTTCAGTTTCCCTGCTTCCTCTAAAGGCCACACTGAGATGAAGGCGCCATAATAACTTTGTAACTCTGTGCGTTCTTCCCTTTTCTCCTCTAGACATTTTAACAAGGACAGTTCGACAAAAGCTAAAATGACAACAAAAGTGATGTTATCATGTCTGTTGATGGCGCTCTACATCAAAAGGTCAGTTGATGTCCCGCTCTCAGTTACTTAATTAAATCTCCTTTTATCCACAGTAGGTCGTGTCTTTATCACGCCTGCTTCTTTTTCAAAGCTTCTTCATCACTAACTCCTGTTGAATCAGCCAGTCCTCCAGAGTGTCATTACTGAAGTGTGATGTGTTTCTACGGGGAACATTTTAGGAACAGTGGCTGTACATAGGCTTTTATTTATATTTTGGTGGTGTTACATTCCAAGAATGTGAACATGTAACAGAATCTAAAGAAATGTTTCAAAATAAAGAGATGTCATTGTTTCATGAATTTGGTAGTGATGTTTTTTACCCTGTACTCTTGAGGTGTATCGCCCCTAAACAAATGATTTGACCATCTAACTTCACCTGTCCAGTTCTTGCATTAGGTTCAGTTGGTCACATCAGTCTGTTGCCTCGTATCTTGTAGTGTCTCGTCTCAGTTTTTTTACTTCAATACAAAATATGCACAACTAAATTGGTTTCGAGATGCAGATACATTGAGAAATTATTTCTTAGTGATCATCAATTTCATTAAAGTTAGTGTCTTTAAATGAGGTCCCCATGCAGGACAACGGTCTGGTAAATCCATCATCCTGCACATTTCTACGGATTTGTGAATATATAGTTTTTACGTTTTAAATGTAGTCTCCTCTGGTACCAGCACCGTGTACGAATGTTTAAGCCTCGAGTCAACACATGATAATGGTTATAATGACAGATCCAATGATCATGTCTTTGATGCAACAGTAACATATAAACAAACTTAGAAAAATGATTTTATTCTCACCACATCTTTTTTTTGTATATATGAAACAGAATGCACTTATTAACAAAATATAAAATGCTAAAACATTCATAAAAGATGAGGTTTCAGGCTGAAGCATTTATAGAAATCAACTGCAGGCTAAATCATTGTTGATATGTCATGACAGTTGTAAACACAATGCATATATTTGTAGGCATGCTGTGTATCAGCACGCCATTACCTTTTAAACACAGGTGCTTTATGACGTTAAATATGGACACAAATCCATTTTGTTTACAGGTGCAAAGAATGTGTGCTGAGATGAAGAGCGTCCATGTTTGATGAGGTAAACAGACAGTTTGATGTCAGTTGAAGCTGTCTGTAAACACCTCAGCGTCTGAACACATGGCTATAAATCCCTGTGAGAAATAAAGACAATGGTCAGCCCAAGAACAATTTCTGCCCCTGATTCAAAATGTCTTCTCAAAGCCAAACATTAACCTCAGAAAACAGTGATCCTTTGCTAACACTGACCTCTTCCACCCCCAGAACTGTGTTGACCAGCTGAGCGTTCCTCGTTCTGGGTAAAACAACGCCTTTGCCCAGTTCCACTGAAACAGAGAACAGAAACAAAGACTATGTAGCCACACTTGAATACATTATGTTCAGTATGTTGGATCAATACAGTATGGAATGTGCTTTTTCTCAACTGTAGGACTAAATGCATTGTTTCCCTTGATGTTAAAGATGCAGCACTATTCACGTTTAAATAAATTATTATAAATATTTAGTCAAAAGCAACTTTATTGTCAATCTTCTGTTTGTATGAAACAGAAAGAGAGATTGAAATGCGGTTTCTCGCGCAATCCAGAGGAATACAAATACAAAAATAAAATTATACATACACCTGTACCTATATATATACACATTCATAATAAAACATATACACATGCACACAGACATAGATAAAAGGCACAACATTCAATAGAAAATAACAGCTTTTATGCTTATTTTCCCAGATAAACTTCACAAAAAGTGAAGAAATACAAAGTCTTTCACTGCCAAGTTTAAATGTTGTTGAGCAAAGCAAACTTTAAAAGATTACCGTTCAGTTTTGCGAGGCCAGCCATCACTCCCATTTTCACTAAGCTTTCCAATGTATCCGTCTGCAGAGAGAACATGTGATATATTACTGTCTGGGTTTAATTCTCCTCAGTGCACACGTAAGTTTGCCTCTAACGTATTATGTGATGTAGTTATGTACCTCAAAGTGTCCCACTTCACTGTCCGCCAGCGTCAGTGTTAAACTGTTTGAAAGAAAGACACAACATGACTTTGCTTTAGTTAACTGCAGGCTGAGGCGTGTGTTTTACGACATGGTGATGCTCACTTCTGCAGTGCCATGGAGCCCTTCAGTCTTCCAGCAGCGACCCACACTTTACCGTCAAATGTTAAGTCCTGAAAGAAAGGTGCCAGCTGTCAAAACAACCAATATTTATTTTATTACGATCAATCCATCTGTTCTTTTTGTTGTTAATTAATTTATCCACAGTGGGTTAAACGATTCCACATTAAAAAGTGACCCTTTGTCCAAGCACGTGCATGTATTTGTTTGCTCAAATCAAGTTATTATTAGAGATATAACAATTTTTCTACAAAATATTTCTTATGTGCTTGCAAAATGTTTGTTTGTGGCATGAATGTACTCATCATATCCATAGGACTGAGAGCAGAAGTACTCACAACATTGAGTTTGAACAGAGGGATCTGGGTGCCGTTGGGCTCGATGGCAGAAGCCTTCACTGCGCCCGCAAGCTCGAGTTTCACAACACCAGGCTGGAAGGAAAACATTGGCACCTCACTGGCATAAACCTTCAGATTCATCAGAAGACCAGGAAACATCTTGGGAAGCTGCAGAGGGAGAGAGAGAGAGAGAGAGAGAGATAATAGAGTACATAATCAGCATCAGTTTTCTTTACAGACAGCTTACAGCGGCCCCCTTCTCTGCCGATGGTGTGCATGCGTGTGTGTGCCTGTGTGTGTTTCTCCACTGCTTAAGGTAAGGATCGTTTTCAACCTCTTTGTATGAATATTGAATATGATACTGTGACCTGGGTAACTCCAGTTTTAAGTGAGTAGACGTAGAGCTAATAATAATATATTCTTACATATTCTTAAGAAAATGCATAATGTAAGATGTCAACTAAGGATACTCAATAATTGGTCAGTTATATATTTTATTTATTTGTTCTTGTTTGAAATCATGACAGTGAGTGACTGGTCCATGCAATCACTTCCTTCCTAAAAAAAGATTCATGAGGTAAGATGTCAACTAAAGCAACTTCATTATTTGTTATTGTTTGCCTTATTTATAAAAACATAATGACATGATATATTGATTGTTGAAGGCTGTTGTTAAATCCGTCCAATCATTTATCATGAATATGATATATACAGTATGGTCAAATAACACATGAGAATTTGCATGATGATGTTTTCCAGACTTTTAGTGTATCTTTCAATATACATCTTACTAGTAACTTTAAACTACATGTTTTGTACTTAATTAAAAGTCCTCTGTATCAAATATTAGGAAAGCCATGAGTATTCTAAGAAACTGCAGTCAAGAGTGGTTTTAAGAAAGAGCTTTAAGGTTCTACATTTCAGACGTAAAACTGCTTTTTGAATATATAGATGTTTTTTTAACAGAGTTGTTCACATACTAAGAGTCACTCAATTTAATGTCACCAGGTAAATATAATGCACTGCACAAGCCTTTCAAATATAAATGAATACAACTTCAGATACAATGTGCCCTGTATTTGTTATTTTACTTATTTACTACTTTGAAGCCAGATTATTTTGGAGACAGAACTAAGTGTTCAAGCTGTGGTTTCACTAAACCACTAAAGGATTGTTATTCCTTCAATAATAATGATTGAACCACAATGACATCATCATGCAGTCCTGCTCATGGACCGCATTAATGAAACTCTCGAGTGTTCTTTTAACGCTGATTCAGTTACACTTACCTGAGGAACGTAAGGCCCCATTGAGCTGGTGTTGAGGCGTACATGGATGTAAGGAGGTATCTGAGATGATGAAACAACATTTGTTAACAGTCATGTTTTATGTCAAAAATGGGTATATGCTTCTTACATTTGAGGTGCACTTACCATGCTGTCAGTGATGAGAACCTGAAGCCGTCCCCCAGAGTAGAGTGCGTATGAGGCAGAGTTCACGGTGAATTCAGACAGGCCCATCGACAGCATGTAGTCGGGCTGCTCAGGCACAGTGAAATTCTGGGCCTCAAAGGGAGGCCTTTCATGAGTTCTATCGTAGAACTCTCCCTTTAAATAGAACGTTGGAAAAATGACCCATTACCGCTACTGTTTACCATTTTGTTATTTATATTCATACGTTTTGGCACCCAATATAAATGATGTGTTGCTTACCTTAAGACCCAGAATCATACTTGATGCATGAATGACGGGTACGCCAGTCAGAGGGATGTTGAGTACTAAGTCTTCATCCACTTGAATGGACACTGATGAGAGTAGAAATAATTTGTTACTGAATAATCTCATTATACATTTAAATTCCTGACTCTTATTTGACAATTGCTTTAAAATAAAGGTCTTATTTGCACTAAGCACTTAGTATCAATGTGTAACAAAAAAAGAGTACATCTATATATTGGGGCAGAGTTTTTAAAAGTCTGAGGCAGCCCCCCCAGGGTTTCAAACTGATTTAAGGAATACATTAAATAATTTCACATATAATTATCCAAACGTATGCATGGTTTGGTTAAAGAGTAAGTTCAGATATAAAGTAGTTCTGTACCAACACAATACACAATCATTGTACCTTTTCCAGAGCAGAAAGAAATATAAAATATATATTTTTATATTTTTGGTGTTGATCCCAAAGGAAATATAAAAAAAACTATTAAAACCTGTTTATTATGAGATAACTGGCTGTAATACCTTCCATGGCCTGCAGGTGGTAGTCCAAGCTCACAATGGATTCCTCCACATTAGGGCAGATCTATAAAGAGAAAAAACAAGGCCAATGTGCTGCCATGCTCACCACCAACATCTTTACAGTGAGAATTATCTGATGACGAAACAGCATTGACAAATCCACCACTGTTCAATGTGATAAAGACAAACTCTTACTTTGCTCCTTATTTCACCCCTCATCCGCCCCTTGAAATGCTCCACAAAAGGCTGGAAGATCCAACTATTGACAAAAGGAAATGCAGAACTTACATCTCCACATCATGTATCTCCCTTTTCTCTCTCTCTACCTCTGTTCTACTGTACCTCGCTCCACCTTCAAATCGAATGTCCACGTCTCCAACCTGAGCGTCACAGCTGACGCTGGTGACGGACAGATGCCCGTCAGGATCTTTCCCCAGCTCCACCACCGAGGTCACATCTAAACCAAAGATAGCCATTTTGAAGGTTCCTCCGTCATGGCTTAAAACATACAATAAAAAAGCAAGTTCAAGTTGGTGTTAATGAGAATTATTTCCCCCAAAGTCACAGAAACCATTTGACACGTGTGTGAATATGTATGTATAAAATCCGCAGACTGACCTCAGTGACTTGTCAATATTCTAACGTATTATACATGTATTGATTGCAAATCTAACTTAATTAAGAAATACAAATATTTGTTTCTCACCTGGCCATGTTGATTACATTTGCTATCAATTTAACCATAAGCGACTAAATAGTAAATATGGAGTTAGGAAAAAGTATGAAGTCAGATTAAAATGCCAATTTAAGAATGGGCTCAGCTCTGTAGTCCTTAGACCTTGGCCACTATCTAAAACAATGATATGTGCTTTGATTAAACTGCATGATAAAAAAGGCCTTATAATATCCCCAGTAGGCTGTTGCTTGCAGTAAACATTCAACTCTGTGGATGACATTACAGTATGAACTCTCAGGGCCATCATGGTACTGTGTTAAGGAACAGGAAGTCACAGAACTTACTGGATTTATTGATTTTTTTGGTTGGGAGAATGGGCACAACAAACTTGTGTGCCAATTTTAAGAATCAACACTGCTAACATTAGCCTAACTGGTCCAACTGGTCTTGAATCAAAATAGTACTGGATTTTTGAAAGTAATGACGATGTAGCATAAGTGAACACGTGATTTATTATCTTAAAATGACCATAGCTCTGCGGTGAGACATTGACATGGTGCCTTTAAGGAGACACTTCCTTTTCTAATTGATCCCAGATAAACGGAACAGACAAAGGGAAATGTTCATCTTAATCTCACTTCCTCATTTAGCCTTCATGTAAATGTATTTTGCGAAGAGAAGTGTTTTATTTTATATTTAAATTGTTATCTTTGTTTGTCATCACTTTTCTATAGTTGTAAAGAGGATGATCAGATTATATCAGGTTTCTGAGCAGCTGCCAAACATCACTAGTGTTGGAAAGCAACTAAATACATTTGATAAAGTACTGCAATTAAGTAACATTTTACGTATTTCCATTTCAATCTACCTTAAACTTCTACTCCACCACATATTTGAGGAAAATATACTTTCGACTTCAACATGTTTCAACATGATTTACAGGATTATACAATGGATTAAGGTGTGGCAGTGTTTAAAGTCATTTAAAAGAGCTTCAACTTTACCAGCTGCAATATTAAAGTGCATTATTCTGAAATGGAACATTTTGAGTATACTTTTGATTTAGGTATTTTAGATTATATATGCTTTGCTAATATTTTTGTACACTTTAACTTAAGTTTTTGAATGCAGGACTTTAATGTTCTGCAGTGTAGTATTGATATTTGTACTCAATTGAAAGATCCAGGTACTTCTTCCAGTATACTGGCAACAGAAACTCACATTAAACCAAAGTGTGTCATCCAGCCGCCGGTCAGTGCCACACTGAGGCCTGCGATGGATGTGGTGAATCCTGTGTTGTTCGGATTGAACTCAACAATCGGCTCTGGAAAGTCACACTTCGTTATGGTGATGCTGTGTTGCACATGGGGAGGGGAGAGACAGGACACAGGTCTTAGGGGTGTAAAGATGTCAAATAAAAATGTATCAAGTATGTAGAGGTCTTCAGGAATGTAATCATACCCTGTTAGAATGTAGTGTATGCCCAAGACTTCACCACTGAAGTCAGTGAGAGTGATATGCTCCAACTTCTCCTGAACCCATCCTGCACCTAAATGCTTTCCTGAGACAAACAGCACATGTGTACAGTTTAAAACTGTGAATGAAACATTTCTCCTACGATTTAATTGGGTTCTTTATAAAAAGAGAGTCAAAGCAATCTACTAACGCCCCATGAAGCTGTTATTTTAGGTTTAAATAAACTGAACATCTGAGTGAATGGCACCTCATTTTGCCTTACCGTACTGAAGTCCTTTTCTAGTCAGGATGACTTGTATGGCAGGGTTTTCACCACGGGTAAAAGAAATGAGCATCAGCACCACAATCACTGCTGGAAGCATCTTCCTGGGTCTACTGAGCTGCAAGCAATTTACCAAATACAACTTGTGAGTATGAATGTAATCACAAAACTCCTCACAGTCAACAAACTATACTGAGACTTTTACATGTTACTGTGCAATGTGAATAAAGTCAAACTAGTATCCTGTCAAGCTGTTAAAGTTATATTTTGTAGCATACCTGAATTACTGCAGAATGGTTAACCAAGTTGAAAGGCGTCTTCACTGCTTCTCTGCGTTGATTCAACTACTGCAGCTTCCTGGTTCACGAGAAGTGAAACTTACTGCACTCATGCAGACTCTGACAAACTGCTGAATTGTTTATTTTGAGTGTGTGTGGGTGTGTCTCTGTGTGAAGAAAAGGAAACTATTTTTGAATCTGCTCTGAGTGTGTAAAAGAATATTGTATTCTCAACATCATTCAGCTTTTATGTTGAAAAAAGCAGAATATTATAACCATTTTTTAAAAAGCAGATTGATGTAAATGTTTTTGTGATCAGAAACAGGGTATTGAGCGACACCCTCATTCTTAAAATAAAGTACCGTCATGGTGGACTATCATGAAAAAGGATGTGAAAATGATCTTCTCTATGCTGACTTTACATCCTGAATTCACATCTGACTTCAATATTTCCAATGATATATCAACAGATATCAATTGTAAATATGTTGATGTCTGCATGTTCTGTAATCCCTGGTCTGTTGTTTACCAGCTGTGGAAACAAATATCCCCCTGGGACCATGAATACAAACCAAAGAGAGCAGTACCAGGTTTTCATGCAGTGTGCTATGTGAAGGGTTCATGTGCAAAGGTAATATATCTGTTTTTTATTTATTTTGTGCATTAAAGGGAATGTCAATCAAACTAGTGTTACTAGTTTTTCCTTATTTAAAAAGAATATATTTTTTATTAAGTTTAATTATTTTACTAGCTTTTAATAGTTTTTTTTTTTTTAATAAACGACTAACATGATGTTTTTGGAGGTATGCTAACATTGGGAAACTTTCTAATTGGGCAAATGTAGTTGTTCTGGAGAACATAACAATTAAAATAAAAAGGCTCCTCGGCCATCCCTGTCTACATTTCAAGGAAACATTAGAATCACCAGCCATAAAATATTTGATTTATTTATCTCTTAATTCAACAAATACTCTTGGTCTCACACACACCATGATTAGTTCCATTAAATCACATTTAACAAGTTCAATAGGAAGAGAATATTATCAGACATTTATTTTTTCATATAACACAATTAGGACCCACTTTGCACCAGCTTGCACTTTGAAATCACTTCATCCAGAATGACACTTGAAACACCAAGAAAACAAACAAGCCAACGAAGACTACTATAGGCAAAAGATGGAAAATAAAACACAAAAACGAACTGAAATAAATAAATTCTGTTTAAACAACTACACATACGGTTTTCATTGTTTATTATTATTATTATCCACCCAGCACCTTGTTGTCATATTTTCTCTGAAGTGGGATAAATGAAATATCAAGCAGCTCATAACATATTCACTCCATTGTTTTCACTTATTTCATTCCCAGATATAAACACGTACACACTCACAGTAAGACCCATGGCGGATATTTTCACTGGATCTTTGACAACTTTGCATGAAGACTGATACCTGGACATGTTAATCCCCGCGTATTCGCCACCCCCCACCCCCACCCCCTTTTTCATGCGGAGCTTGTGATCCTCTGTCCAGTGAATAAAACATGTTTTCTGGAATGATTAGACTACTTTACGATATGATTGTAGAGTTCATTATTGCACATTTTCACGAAGGCAAAATAAAAAGATGTACATTTCACACAAATAATCCTTCTCACGAGCTTCTTTGTCAAGTGGCTAACGTGATGTTGTAATAAGGTCTGCGTCATGACAACCTGCCAGAGTGCGGCATTTCAAGACATCACCATTCAATAAAGGTCATCTCTGAAGCTCTCAGTCGTGGAGATCGTACGTGTACGCCTCTATGAGCCCTTCAACCGAGTGAATGAAGCCAGATATGGCGCATATGCCCCCAATAACAAAAATGGCAACGTCGAAGAAGACGTGGTGCCACAGGAGCTTCCTCCACTGGAGCTTCAGGTGGAAGAGGCTTGGCAGGAGGAAGCACAGGCCAGCCCCGGTGAGGCTCCCAGTTAAACCCATAAGGAGGGCAAAATGGGGGACAAAGACGGCCATAAGCAGGGTGAAGACCACCAGGCCAATTCGCAGGCCCAGACCCCAGGATTTCAACTGCCCAGTAGGGCCGTAGCAGTCAGGGAACATGGCTCTCCCGCCATCCTGAAAAAAGGATTTCTCCAGGACCTCCACTGCAGCAAAGAAGGGCAGCGGGTAGGACAACAGCGCCTTGGACACGAGGAAGATGTTCACCACAGCCCGGATGGTGGAAGGCAGGTTATCTGTGATGACCTCTTTGGTGGCGTCTGCCCAAGTCAAGTACGCCACCAGGGCGAAGAGGCCCTTCAAGACGCAGGCGGAGATGTGAGTCCAGTCCATCATGCAGTGGAACTCGCTGGGTTTCGACATGTTTCCCTCCAGGGAGGGGAGGAAGATCTGGGAGGTGTAGCTGAACACGATGATGCCGATGGAGATGGGGAACTTCTTAACGTCGATGTAAAACTTGACCTTATCCCAGGCCCAGTCGCGTGCCCTGGAGAGGCAGTAGGCGATCACGAGGACGTTAATGACGAAGTGCGCGAGGGTGCAGAGCAAGCTGAACTTGGACACGGCCTTCAGGTTTTTCAGGAACGCGCACGGCAGGAGCGCGACCGTGGCCACCACGGACCAGGCTTTCTGGGAGACGGGGAACCCCGGGAAGCTGTTGACCATCAGGTTTCCGCTGACCACCACGTACAGGATGCACGTCATGACCAGCTCAATGATCTGAGCCACGTTCACGACGTGCCCGCCCAGCGCTGGGAAGCGGGGCGCGCAGCAGGCATTGGCGATGTCAACGTAGGAGTCCCTCACGCGCACTTGCCTTCCGTCCTCGTCCTCCTCATACAGACACGCGATTAGGATTTTCCCGGTGTAGCAGCACACCACCGCGGCGAAGATAATGAGGAAGAGACCGAGGTAGCCACCGTGGAGGATGGCGTACGGAAGGCCGAGGACGAACATGCCCTGCGGACAGAGAGGCGCAGTTAATGGACGAGGCCCGCATCACAGTGACAGGCCGAGCACCCGGCATGCAAGGGCTCAAACAGCTCACCTCTTACATAATAACAGTAACAAAAAAGGATATATATATTTTACAATGCATCGCAGAAAAGTCTTATTTATATTCATTTTCCATGTTTTCCTCACAAAATAAATGTTACCACAAGCCATGCCCTTGAAAATCGGCCCTTTCGTTTGAGCAGGCTGTGCTGGATCGAATTAACACAATTAAAAAGACAATGTAAAAACGAAATTTTAAATGAAATTGATTACATTTTCAATTTGATGGAGACGCTGATAAGCACGCGCAGGGCCATTCAGCCTCGGGACTATCAAAGGCAGCAGGCCCGGCCTGCAGCCCCACTGATAAAAAGATTTGAATACATAAATCCTAACACCCATTGGATGCAACGAATCCACTCTCAAACCATGAAATAAACGTTGAATTGAAGCCTGCATTAAATCATGATAACATTTAAAATGTTTAAAGACATTTAAAGCTCAGCATATTTGTTAGAACATATTGCTTTATTCTTATCTTGGATAATGTGAAATCATGCGCATCCCACTCTAAATACAATCTGGAATTCTAGAAATAAATCTTAAAAAATGAAAATCTTCAAGGTGACTTTTGGTCCTGGTGCAGGCCTCAGCCATGCACCAGACGGGGTCTCAGCATGCAGACATGCAGGATGAGAGCAGTTTACCTGGATGGCGTTGGTGACGTTCCAGCCTGCTTCCCACGTCGTGATCTTTGGCTTCTCCTCGTCCAGAGAGCCTCCTGTCTTCAGGCCTGGCGCGTGGCCGGTGCCGTCTCTCTGGTAGTGGCTGTCTCCATCCAGCTCCCCCTCGCCCTCGCCCTCCACCTGTCCCCCCTCATCTTCTCCCTGGAGGACATCCATTTGCATCCCTTGCCTGTAGTCATAATCCAAGTCGTCGCACTCGGCGAACCCCACACCCTCCTCGTCCGTGGCGGCCTGGAAGCCCAGCCGGGCGAACACCCCGCTGACCTTGGCCTGGGATTTGTTGGACACCGTGTGGGCCGCATTGGTCAGCTTGTTGGAGAGCTTGTGTCGTATTAGGTGAGCCATCGTTACCCCAATAAATTACGTTCTTCAAGTGAAAATGATACTACCGAGTAAAGAGCAGAGAGGCAGATGCATGCAGGGTGATTGTTCTCTTGTTTGAGCTGCTACAGTAAAGTCATGCCTGTTGCCTCTTCGATGTCGTCGCAAAGTAAGCTTACCCTCCGTTTCATCCAAACCGTTAACAATCCTCAGCCGCTTTTCTTTGCTTGCTCATCCATAGTACTCCCTCAAATAATGCTCCTTGGTATCTGCATCAACGAAGCAACGCCCCAAAAAAGAGACAGTAGGGAAATTGGTCCTAATTTGTCTTTTTAAAAAAAATAATATATATCTATATATATATCTATATATATAGATATATATATATATCTATATATATATATAAGTTAGCACTTTTTTTCAGTTGGGCGTCCTGTGGAGCACGAGCGCTGGAATATCTGACTGCATCACCGAAAAGAGAGGAGCGTGCACGTGTCCGCATAGAGTGGCAGAGAAACAGCTCGCGCACAACATAACTGTAACGAGAGAGAAAGAGGGAAAGGGAGAGAGGGAGGGAGAGAGAGGGAGAGAGAGGGAGAGAGAGGGAGAGAGAGAGGGAGTAAGAGAGGGAGAAAGAGAGAGACTTTAATTCACCAGTAGAGTAATCACGACTCGCGTCGCGAGGATAACCCGGGCATTTAAAGACATTATTACAGAATCGCTCGTGACATTGCCATGAATGAAGAGATCAAACATTTCACCTGATTTCATGTCAACAGGTCAAAATGCTTTCAAACCAAATAGTCATGCTCAATAACTCTCAAACAAAACACCCTGCATTTATTGAATTAAAACATAGTCTTCATTTGTTTACATTCTTACAGAGCTACAGTTGTATTTTCAAAATGTTCGATGTGTTCAATGCAGCAAATAAAACGCCGTCTATATGAATTCACCTTATAGACTTTTTTTCGTTAGACAAAATGTTGACTGTTCCGTCTGACCTGCTCAAATGTATTTTAACATGTGAAATACATCT